TGCTTGTGTTGTGGACTGTCTGCTCCTCCCACCCCAAAAGAAGACGAATTCCAGGTTTTGATCTGTCTCATTCACCGTTGGTCCTGAGACCCCGCTGGCTGCCTGGCACATACAGGCACTCAGTAATGGTGTGTTGAACGGACCAGTTAATCTCACCGGGTTGTCGAGAAAAGGAAGCTACTATCAATCATGAAACCTGGTTCCGTGACAGCCTGTAGCCTCTGGCGGTCACCTGGGGTGGGGGTGGGGAGCACTGACCTCCACCGTTGAATCTGTCAGAAGTGTTCTCATCGCTTCACCCTCCTCCTCTCCTGACCTCCTTCTCTCTGTCCCCTCTCTGCCCCGACCCCTTGTGTGTCTGATCAGGTGGAGACCTCCACGCAGAACAGCAGGACAGAGCCATTGCACGGGGTTCCCAAGGAGTCCACCTGGCATGGGGCTCAGGGACTGTCCTTGGTCCCATCCCTGTGCTGGGGCAGCTCACCTGCAGTGGGTGGTGACCCGGGCAGCTGGGGTGCTCCATGTGACTTATACAAGAATGGCGGAAGGCACTGGGAGCTGACCGTGGGGGCTGGACCGGCCTCCGCGGCAGCATTCGGCCCACTCGCCAACAGTGCTGCCCTTCTCTCCTTCTCAGACTCGTGGGCGCCCCTGCTCCCAGACTCCTTTGCAGTTGGCGGGGTCACGGGACTAGTTCTGGCCAATAGGCCTCCTGAAGGTGGTACATGTCACTTCTGAGCCAACCTCTAGGACTTGCTGGCTTGCCGCGCCCTCTTTCTCCACCGCAGTGAACTGAAGCTTTGGGTTGACAATTAAGTAGCTTGGCGTGCGTAGCCACCCCGGGCAGAAGGGCCCAGAAAGGAGGCCTGCAGGTGCTGGCATCTCCCTGCCCACCTGTCCTGGGGCTCCTGCCACACCCCGGGCTGGGGGTGATTCAGGGAGGTTGGTGCCATGGGCAGACTCTAAGGTTGGAATGCAGAACTGAGCCAGCTGTGTGCCCTGGCCGGTTTGGCTCAGCGGTTAGAACCTCGGCCCCTGGACCAAAGAGTCACAGGTTTGATTCCCATCAAGGGCATGTACCTCAGTTGGGGCTCAGTCCCCGGCCCTGGTAGGGGTTGTGCAGGAGGCAACCAGTCGATGTGTCCCTCTCACATTGATGTTTCTCTCTCTTCCTTCCTCCCACTCTACCTGAGATAGATGGAAAAATATCCTCAGGTGAGGATTAAGAAAAAAGAACTGAGCCAGCTGTGGCTGGGGGCGGGTCCTTGGAACCTGGGCAGTGGAGGCTCGGTGGTAGAGGTGAGCTCTGTGCCCACCTCCAGCACCCAGGGCAGTGCCAGGCGCAGACGGGCGCTCTGAATGGCCTCGTCTACCGGGCACCAAGTGCATCCTCATGGCTGGGCAGCATGGCAGACCCCAGGGCCCCTGCGGGCATCGGTCTCTCAGGCCAGGGCGGTAGACGTTTCTAACACAGAGCCACACCGTCTACCCTGCAGCCGTCAGCCACGCTGGCTCCTGAAACTTAACTTTAATCACAATGTAAAACCTCATTCCCGAGTCGCACAGCTGGGCAGTGTGGGTAAGACTCCCACTGTCCCAGGAGGCCCTCGGGCCGCACTCTTCCAGAAGCGCCCACGCCCTGGAAGCCCCAGGCGGGCACGGCCTCCACCCGGGCTCCTGTCTCGGCACACCCAGCAGGGACCTTCCCAGGCCCCAGAGCTGGCCTCGGCCCTCAGCCTCTCGGGTCTCCTGGTCAGCGGGGGGGAAGCATCAGTGAGCCGAGGAGGAACCTGGTGGCAGACGGCAGGTGTGGAAAGAATAGCAGCCTGGCCGTGACGTGGGGACAGACACCAGGAGCCCACGAGGTGGGGGTGGCGAGTGGGGGCCGGCAGAGGCGGCTACGGGGAGCGCGGCGTGATCCTAGTGACGTTTTCAGCGTCACTCAGGCTGTCGGGTGGGACACGGCCGGTGGGAGCTGAGAGTGGGGACAGAGAGGCGGATGGGAAGCCGCTGGGTTCATCCAGGAGAGGTGAGGGGGGTCTGGAGCGTGGTCGGGGGACCATGTGCTGGCTGCCCTGGGCCCCAGGGTCCCTGGTAACAGTGCCACCTCCCACTCCCAGAAGCTTTTCCGTTCTGGGGGACTCCACAGTGGTCTCTGTGGAGACGGAGATGAGGAGAGGCTCAGGGGCGGGAGCCAGGACTCCCGCTGGGCCGTCCTCCGGGCTGAGGGGACCGGCGGTTTCCGGCCTGGGTGGCCGAGGGTACAGTGGGGCCATTCACTAAGTAAGACGGGCAATTGCCTGGGCAGGCTTTTGGGGACAGAAACCCAAAGTTCACGAGTCATAATGTCACGGAATAGGATTACGGATGTCTGTGGATGTAAGTCTGTGCCCTCCCTCCCATTTCTCTGTTAAAGCCTCAACCCCAGTGTGACGGCTTTGGAGCGGGCCCTGGGGTCCCTTGTGATGGGATCACTGTCCCTGTACAGTGAGACGGACGAGAAGAGGACTCGGGGAGGAGGTGGCTGTCTGCAAGCCGGGGGCAGAGTCCTCACCAGAAATGACCTGCCGGCACCTGGACCTCGCACTTCCAGCCTCCAGAACTGTGACGAGGTCGTTGTTTAAAGCCCCCGGTCTCCCCGGCCGTTTTGGCCCAGCGGTTAGAGCCTCGGCCTGCGGTCCAGAGAGTCCCAGGTTTGGTTCCTGCTAAGAGTATGTATCTTGGTTGCAGTTTGTCCCCGGCCCCGGTTGGGGTCGTGTGGGTGGCAGCCACTCGATGTTTCTCTCCCCCCCGCTTCTCGCTCTATCTGAAGATGAATGAAAATTGTCCTCGGGTGAGGATAAAAAATAAAATAATAAGTAAAGCCCCCGGTCTAATATTTTATCAACCCAAACAAAGACAGGTTAGGAAGCGTTGAACCCCAGACACGTCGGGAGGACGGTGGGGAGGGGCCCTGCCTGCTTTCGCTTCCCTCCCCAGCCACGTGCCCCAGCCGGAGCTACCGACGTTTCCAGAACCAGAGGCCAGTGGGGCCGTCCCCAGCCTCAGTGCGTCTGCTGCTGCTGTTCCCTCTGCCTGGCATGCCCTTCCCTTCATCGGGCTCCAGAAATACTTTATCAGTCAAGACTTAGCTTGGGCAGCACCCGCTCCGAAGGCCTCCCATGAGCCCTGGGGCGCGTTCGGGGCCTCCTGCAGGCCGGCCCCACAGGCAGCGGTCAGTCTTGTCGTCGGGGTTGCTCGGTCTCCCAGGCTGCCCGGGGCAGGAGTCAGCTGTCACAGCTCCTACCACCGGTACCCGAGGCCTGGAAGGACGTGCTGAGAGCAAACAGGGGCCGAAGCCTGGGGCCCTCCGACGCTGCCACCGGTCCTGCCCCTGATGGCACAGCCCTGCTCTGTGCACACGCCAGTGTCGCTGGTGGGCAGACCCTCCCCGCACCATCAGCAGAAGGGGCGGCCCGTTAGGAATGATGTGCGTCCCAAGAAGCGGCGTGGTACTTCACAGGTTGTAACACATCGTCCTTTATTTTCCCAGCCTCCCTGGGCCCACACGACATTGCACTAACGAGGACTGGGGGTTTCCAGTTGCTCAGGCTCAGGTCGCTAAGTGGGAGGAAGCGTGTTAGGTGCTGAATTTCCCCTTCCCTGGCCAAGCCGGGCTGGCGAGAAGCCGGGTGCGCCACAGGACGCGGGGGATTGCGGGCCGGGAGGAAGCTGAGCCACACTGACTCACGGGCGGGGACGCCGGGACACACACAGACGCAGCTCCACGGGACACTGGGAACAGACGTGGCGACACCTTTCTGGTGCTCACAAGCCTCTCAGTGCACTTCATTCACAGACTGCGACAGGCACGAGGCCTGACCCGCCCCTCGTCCCACAGAGGGCCTTGCGGCTGGGTACCCGCGGGCCTCCGCCACCAGGCCCTCTGCGGCCTCGGCAGACCAGACAGGTGTCCCAGCCTCTGTCCCCGAGTGTGAGTGTCGGTGTCTATCTCAGCACCACCCACGAGGCATTGCTCCCAGGGCCCCACGTTCATGGCCTGCCGCAGGGAGGTGGGGACCGCTGGCTACGCCCCCAAAGCCACGTGGGTACTAGGCTGGGCACTCTGGCTGACAGGGAGGTCTTTCCTCTCCAAGACTCAGAAAATAACAGCGAGGAAGTAACTGTGGATCCAGGCTGCACACATACTCAAAATGGCATTATTGGGGGGGCTGCCTTTCAGGGCACCCGTGTGACAGGTACGAAAGAAAACGGAGCAGAAAGCACACAGACGAGGGTCGCACGTAGCAGGGACACACCAAGAACCAGACCACACAGCTCTGACGGTGGGCTAAGGCTGGAGGCACCGCCTCGCGGGACTGGAGAACTAGACTCTCCCGATGTCCTCTCACACGGGAGTAGCGAGACTTTGTAACAAAATAAAACCTTTGTGTTGCTTTAGAGAGATCATCTAGGCATCCAGGGGTGATCCGGAAGGACAACGCAGTGCACGGAGGGCCCCGGAGGAAGGCACCCTGCCAGGCTGACGTCTGTCCCTAAAGAGACTTGTCACGACCGGCCGCAAAACATGTGCACCCCACGCTTGGCACAGCCCTGGGCACCCCCAGCTGCAGGGCCGCGAGCCAGCACCCTCTGTGTGCAAGGCTGTGCCTCCCAGGCTGGGCAGGTAGGTGGGGCCAGTGGACTCTGGGAGCCCTGTGCCCCCCAAAGATTGTGTCAGTGCCTGTCATTGACAAGCCTCCTCCAATCTCATATCCTGGTCACCGCTGTGGCCCAAGGGCCTAGGAAGGCGGGCTAAGGGTGTCTAAAGGACCCCCTCTCTTGGGACGGCCACTCTGCAGCATCTCCCTGATGCCAAGCGCAGCGGGGGAAGGGGTGGTGCAAAGCAAGGCATCTGGGCCCTAAACTACGGCAGGCGTGTGGCAGGTGCACCTGCTGTGGAACCTGCTCCCGCCCCGCCCCGCCCCCCGCCCTCCCCAGGTGCCCCCACCAGCCCTGTGGACACAGAGAAGCCAGCGCCAGTGCAATTAGGAGGGGTTTGTGCGGTTCCCGCCCGGTGCCCGCGGCTCTGCCCCCGGTACGTGTGGCCAGGCGCCTGGGCAGACGTCAGAACAACAGCGCTTTCTTCTTGAGGTCATTCCTCTTCCAGAGGGCCAGGCGGTCAAACTCTTCCATGCTCATCCCAAACACTTCCTGGAACTCCTCCGGCGACAAGTGTCTCTTCAAATAAAAAGGGAAAACCAGAGGGCAGTGGTCAGTGACTTTGCAACACGCCACTGGGCCGCCCGAGGCAGGACTGTTGTTTGGGGTGTTGGGGGGCCTCCTGTCCCCCAGGAGCCCCTGCAGCTCTATCCTTCCCACTCTGCAGCTGACAGCCCAGAGGAAAGAGACTCGGCTAAGGACCCTCGGTGCCCACACACGCATCTCCCATTGGGAACCGAGGTCACGGCGCTCCTGGGACCAGGACTCCACCTTCCTGGAAACAGCTGGGTCCCCGGATCTGCTCACATGCTCACATTATAATTCCCACGGTGCCATCCGAGAGGAGGAGGCAGACGGCTCATTATGACCCATTTCACAGACGAGGAAGCTGAGTCGTGGAACATGAGTAAGGAAACCAGGCAGGGCCCAGACCTGTGTTCGAATCCCCCGTGCCTGGCCTCTGCTGTGCCATAAGGTCTTTGTCTCTGAGCCCCGCTCCTCGGCTGGGGCCCACGGAGAGGCTGCGCAGCATGGTGGTCAAGGGCACCAACGCCAGCTGACCTCTGGAGCCTCAGGCCACTCGCCGGTGCAATGGGGTGGCCCTGCATCCCCCCTGGGGTTGTGGGGACAAATGAGTCAAGACAGTTAGTGCTCATGACGGGGCCAGTGGGTGTCAGCCGCCAAGAGAGACCTGCACGCAGCCCTGCACCCACGTGACCGTGGCCTTGCGGACCCCACACGTGAGGGACTGCGGCTGGGAACACATGCTAAGCCAGCCTGCTGCTGGGCTGGCCTGGACGCTAACATGGAGCAGGAACCCTGGGCAGTGGCCGTAGTCCTGGCCCCACTGGAGACAAGAGTGGACCTCTTCCACGGCGAGAGGGACTGAGATGGGACCTTGGAAGGGAACCCCCTTAATTTTACATCATCAAGAAGTCTTCCCACGAAACCCCATCCTCCCATGGGGTCTCAGGAAATTCCTTTCCCCAGAGCACCCGAGCCCCGCTTCTCCTGGTACCAGTCACACGGCACTGTGGCCAGCGCTCAACTCTGCTGAACGACCCACTTTAAAATGATAAAGGGCCGCGCGTTACTGCATGTGAATTTGACAACGAAGAAAACCAATTCTTGCCCTGCCGGTGTGGCTCAGTGGTTGAGTGTGACCCATGCGCCAAGAGGCCGCCAGTTCGATTCCCAGTCAGAGCACATGCCCAGGTTGTGGGCCAAATCCCCAGTGGGGGGCGTGCAGGAGGCGGCCAATCGATGTTCTCTCTCATCGATGTTTCTATCTCTCCCTACTTCTCCCTTCCTCTCTCTCAAGTCAATAAAGAAAAAAAAATTATAAAAAATACCCCACCAATTCTTGCACAAAAAAGTGTGCTTTCCTGCATTTCACAGCAAAAGTACTCCCACTAAAGGTCGGCTGACGAGGAGGAGAGAACCAGGACACGCAGTGTGGAAACGGTTTCTGGGCGGCTGAGGAATCCACACCCAGTCCAGAGACTCAGAACCGTCACTGCCGACAGCAGCACCCTGTCCAGGTGCAAGTCACAGCCTTTGCAATGGTGTGGGACAACGGAGACATGAAACGGGAGGAGAGACGGGAACTCGCTCCTACTGGTATTCACAAATAGTGCCTGGGCGCCTGGGACAGGGCAGAGACAGGGGGCCCTGGGGTGGGGCGGGGGGCGGTTAACAGACATGAACACGAGAAAGGCCATTGGTCCCTGGAGCCTGAAAGTAGCCAGGTGGGCGGGGCAGCGGAAGGAAGCAGGTCCGGGTCTTCAAAGAGATGCCCAGCCACTCTCTGCTTCCCTGCTGTGGTGGGATCTACAGTGCCCTGCTCGGGGATGGGTTGGGCGAGCCAGGGCCAGTGCACGGGACCCTCAGTCATCCTTACTGTGCGGGTGGGGGTGCTGCCCCCACCTGCTCCCACATTACTGCTGCGCGAAGGAGCCACTCCATTGCGGGAAGGCAGGGTGAGACCTGGAGGGAGGGAGGGAGGGAGGGAGGGAGGGAGGGAGGGAGAGAGGGAGGGAGGGAGGGAGGGAGAGGAGGCTGCATGGGGTCCCAGCTGAGTTCTCAGCTCTGCAGGCCTATCAGTTACCTGGGGTGCTTGTCAGATCTGGGAACTGAAAGGCCCCGAAACCTACCAAGGTCGGCTCAGTGGCACAGGGCCTAAGAACCTGTATCTGCCACACGCCTCCCGGAGTAGCTGATGGAAGCTAGGTTTGGGACCACTCAGGCTCAGGGCAGTCCTGGGTGGGGACCCCCCTCCCTGCTCCTGTGTCCCCATCTGTGAGAACGGAGCTAGGCCGCCTGCCAGCTGTGGGTGGGGGAGGGTCAGTGAGGAGTGACTTGCCGGCTGAGGGATCTGTGCACCCCTCTGGCTCCGGCTCTGTGGCCTAGCGTCCCCCTCACCTGCCTGTCCCCCTGCCTTCCAGATGAGAGGGGCTGAGGGGCCCTGCTTGTGGCAGGTGTGAGATCCGAGATAAACCGGCTCAAGGTCACCGGCAGAGTCATCCACCCCCCAACCCGGGCGGGACTCTTTTTGCCGCCCTGTGAGTTTGCAGTAGAACAGATGACCCCGGGGCCCCTCCCTTGGCCCCTGGTTCCTGAAGGCTCCCCAGGAGGAGGGCGGCCTTACCCTCTCACCCCCAGGTGCCCACCAAAGCCCAGCACAGCCCAGCTCCTTCCTGAGCAGGAAGGAAGCCCAGGGCGCGGTGTCTTTGCAGACGGGCTGGTCAGCCTCATTCAGGGACAGCCCACCCCTGGGGTGCACCGGTCTCCCAGGGCCCACAGGCTTTGCTGAAGGGTCTGCCGACAGGGCGCCCTCCAGGGCAGTGTCCCGCAAAAACCTCCGACCCAGGACCACACAGCCCAGGACTGCGGTCCTGGCTCCGACCCCACACTGAGGGCTGTGAGCTCAGCCGTGACGTCTGTGAAGTGGCAGTAAACAGCGAGGTGCTGTGACCCGTTCTTCCTCTGCTTGGAGGGCCAGCCCCTCCCTCCCTGGTCACCCGGGCAACTCCTACGAGGGGATCCGCTCCTCCCTGGCCGCCCCTCTCGAAGGCTCCCAGAGCCCTCTGGCCTCCCCTCCACTTTCAGGCTGTCCGTGTGATGTCACTGAGCGGGGCTGGGGCACACCGGAGCAGGACATTCGACCACAGACACACCACGTAGCAACCGTGGAAAATGGAGGGCCGAGTTTTGAGTACGTACACCTTTGCTTTAAATAGAATTGACTCCATCCCGAGTTTACATAATCTGGTTTCTGGAATGGCTGGGTTTAACGCCAGCATGAAAAATCCCGGAAATCTCATAGTGGGGGCAGCCGCTGAACTGTGCCCTGTACGTGGTTCCCTCGGCGCCGGGCGCCGGGCGGGCGGGCCCTCGTCTCCCCCGCCTAGGAGCCAGCATGGTGCTTGGAGGCACGTGAGTGGCCTGGACAATGACCGCAGAGGGGGTGTGCAGGGTGGTGCCCCCCGCATGCTCTGTTCTCTCCACTCACCTGGGGGTGCCAGGTTCGGGGACACTGGTGTCGACCAGACCAGGCCGCTCCCGCCCAGGGAGCTCTCCCACCTGCTGGAGAGGCAGGTCAGAAAGCAGTAAGTCCATTTGAGGGTTGAGGGGCCAGGGAAGAGCCAGGAAGGCTTTGCAGAGGAGACACCTGTGACCTGGAGAAACGAATCACTGACTTGACTTTGTGACCTGGACCCAGTGGGAAAGGGTCCCTGAAAACAGCAGAAACCACCAGCCTCTGGCTCACAGCGAGAGCTCATCAAAGGCACGCTGGCCGATAACCACAGGGAACGCAGGGCACTGTGCCCGACCTCTGCCCCCTATGGCTTCTGGAACACGCCAGGCCCTCTGCCACCCTGGGCCTGCAATGCTCTTCCCCCACTCCACACAGTGGCTCCTCCTCATCCTCCAGGTCCCAGCTCAAATGTCCCCTCCTCCAGGGGGCCCTCCTGGATTGCCCTAGCCAATCCGGCCCTAGAACCGTGCCATGTCCCTAAGTGCTGACTAGCTGCTGACTTCTCGGGCCCCTGGAGCCCTGGCTGCTGGTGCAGACCCATTTTTCACACATACCTGGGCAGTGGGGACCCTGTGCCATCACCATAGTCTAACAGGTTCTCATCAGACCGGTCCGATGAGATTAAACAAAGCAGGTTCTTCAGCAGCTGCGGGGCCCTTCTTTCTCAGGCACATTCCACAGACAGGCTGTTACTGCTCCAGCGAACTCGGCTGTACCGTCAGCCTCGGGGTCCGGAGGCCGCTCCGGAAAGCACAGGACTCCACTGGGAGGAGGCGCCCCCTCCCGCAGCCAGCCCTGCACTGCCCGGCACTCGGAAAGTAAGGTCTGGGCTGCTGAGTCCGGGAGGACCCTCGAGTGACTCACAGGGACACTGCCCGGGCCCCAGGCCAGACGAGAAGCTCCTTTCCACTCCGTGCACCTGGCCAGGCACGGCGCCCGGCTGCCTGGCACAGCCAGGGCAGGGGCTGCTGGACGTTACGGCGGACATGGCACCCCTCTGCTGCCTGCTGACGTCGAGGAAAGGGGACCCTCCACGGCGTGCTGGCGGGGCCTCCGCCATCTGCTGGAGGCCCGAAGAGGAAGCACAGAGGTACCTGGGGTCAACTCTGGCCTGGTTCCCCTGCTGGCCTGCTCTGGGTTCCAGACTTGCCAGCCCGCAAGTTCCATGAGCAATTCCTGAAATGTATTTCTTAGTGAGGTCTGTCTGCCTGCGTCTGTCTGTCTGTCTGTCTGTCCGTCCACCTGCTTACCTGCCTGCCTCCCGTAATCCTGCCTCTCCGGAGGATGCTGGCTGAAACAGCTCCCTACCTAAGGAGCGGAAGGTCCGCGTGAGTGCGTTGGGGGTTTGCAGCATGGAAGAGGCGTCAGGACTTCGTTTGGGAGGGTCATTGATCCAGGAGGACAGCAGAGCACGGTGCTCCGAGCAAGCCCCTCGCAGGCGTCCAGCCCTGCCCCTCAGGAGCTGTGGGTGCCGGAAGGTCCTCCAGCTCCCTGCCTCCCAGGCCCCTCTGTGGCCCCCGCGTGGAGCGTGAGAACGGTGGGTGCCAACGGGACCAGTGTCCTGTCAGCGACGGGACAGGTGTTTGTTAACCAAACCTGGTCGCGTCTCAGTCCCACTTGTGCCCAGTACTGGGCGTCGAGGAGGAAGCTCATTCTCCTCCCGGGGCCGAGCCTCGCGGCCGATGCGGTTTCTCTTCACACCTGGCGCCTTGCCCATGGAAAGCCTTGTCTGACCCCCGGTCGTCTGTGTGGTTCTGTCAGGTGGGGATGGCCTGGACCAGCTGAGAGAGCTGGACACTGTACTCGCCGGGGCTCACTCGTGCTGGTGCTCAGTGGCCGCTTCTTGACAACCGGAAGCACACTCTCCGCCCGGCAGGACAGGCAGGGCGTGCCCTTGGAGCGGGCCGAATCGGGCTCAGAGTGGTTAGGACACTTGCTCACAGCCACACAGCTAGACACCGTGGGGGATCAGAGCCAGGCCACCCTGACCCTAAGAGCTCTCTTCTGCCACCAGGAAGCCGCCTGGACACATGGACTATGGTGATGCGTCTCCATAAGCACCAGGCACAGGTCTGAAGGGTGTGGCCTCAGGCGAGAGGACCCTTGAGTCTGACCAGGGACAGGCCAGTCCCCTTCCTCCGCTGGAAGCTCCTGGCACAGCAGAGCTCCGGAGGGTCCGTGCCACCTGCAGGCAGGTCTGGGCTGCTCCGCGGCATGAGGCCCTCAGGCGGGGCGGGGCCCGACCCTGCAGCACAGAGGGCTCCAGATCCAGGAAGGGCATTAAGCTGGGCCCCAGCGGACTCCTGGGAAGTCAGTCTGCTGGTCTAGCTCTGCCCATGGGGACCACACAACTCATCTGCCCACCCCCCGTGTGACCACACTTCCAGAGTGGCAGAGGGTGCTTGTGCCGCCTCCGTAAGTCACCAGCATTTACTGAGCACTTCCTGTGTGCTACCAGCTGCCTCCACAGCGCCTTTTACTCTGCCGGCCTAATACCGAACTCCCTGGGCCGAGCTTGGAGGCCAGAGCGCCAATCATCGTCAGAGTCCCGGCTCGTCGCGCTCCACCCAGTGGCCTCTACACCCAGCACCCTGTCCCGACAGCTGGAGTCACACCCTCACCACAGCGCCCCCTCCTGCGCCGAGGCCTGCCACCTCGACCCCGTCACTGCTGGAATGCCCCGCCCCAGCACTGCACCACGCTGTCCATCTTTCTCCGCCGACCTAATTCCTTCCCAGACGGGCTGCCTGCATCCGCACAGCCAATCCGGGCCTCACAATGCTGCCCCCGGCCTTGTTCTAAATTACAAGCCTAATCATTCGATCCCCCACTTAAAAGCCATTGTTTCTAGGCCAAAACCAAACTGCTCAACATGACCCAGGGCCCTGCCAAGCCTGGCCCGCCCTTAGTCACCCTGCAGGAGTACAGCCACCTCAGCTGCCTCATAGTCCCTCCTCAAACAGCCCTTGCTTCCTCCTGCCGCAGGGCCTTTGCACCTGCAGTGCATTTCCTGGAATTCTCTTCTACCTGCCAACCCTCAGCGTCCACTCGCGCGTGCAGGCACACTTACTGCACCATTAACTCTGACCCCTGTCTAACCACTTCCAGGCCCACCTGCCTCTCCTCTGGCGCCCTTGTCCGGTGTATAATTATACGCACTCACGTGGCCTCCCCAGCAGACTGAGTCTGTGAGGCTGGGGCTCCTGGAGCGCTCACCCTGACCCCAGGACCCACACTTCCCCAGTGGATGTGAGACTCGGCTAAGCACTCCGGCGGTAGGGTGTTAGGGCGGTAGGGCGGTAGGGTGGTAGGGTGGTAGGGTGGTAGGGCGGTAGGGCGGTAGCATGCCTTGACCATGCGACGAGTTCTCCTCCAGGGCCTGGCCCTACAGAGGTGTGGTGGCACCAGCTGCCCTCCCGAGCCATCCTCTCCTCTCACTGGGCACAACGGACCCAGCCTGCCTGGGTGGTTTGTCCTGTGACCAAGCTCAGCCTGGCCTTTGGGACCCTCCCACGTGAGGACCACAGACACAGGGCCACCACGCAGCTGTTTGAAGGGGTGGGCGGCTCCACGTGGACCGGTGTGGAAAACGTTCCCATCGAGTTGAAAAGAAACGGGCCGATGTCCAGCTGCCTAAGCTCCTCACCCCCAGCACCTGGGGGCCATGCAGGAAGGGCTCCCGAGCTCCCGGGGATTAGGACCTGGGGTGAGCCTGTGTGACCCTTACATTCTTCTTCGTCTCTTTCTGGAGTTTTACAAGCGTGATGCATTGTTTTTATATTAAAAATAAGGCTCTCTCCTCTGAGATAAAAACATCAGGGACCCCTTCTCCCGCGGCACAGGGCCGCTCCTGAGTCCCTCCTGGCTCACAGCCCAGCTCCGAGCCGGAAGAATGTGGGCGGGGCCCCATGGTGGTAACATGTCCACTCTGCCTCCTGGCTTGGCCTCCCCAGGAAGGGAATGATGACAGACACGCACCCTTGGGTGTGTGCTTGGATCTGAATGATTATACACACTCCCCGTCCTCAGAGTTGTTTACAAGGAAATATTTACACGTAGTAACTGCTTGGTATTTTGCACCTTTCGCCCAGTACTGTAGAATAAAAGGGGGGGGATGGGAGTCATTTAAAGTGACACTAGTCCAAGGGGAAGAAGCAAGTCTGAGCAGGCTCCGGGCCCAAGGCCACCGCTGTGCCTGGAGCAGGGCAGCTGGCTGAGCTCCCCTCTGTGGGGAGAGCCACCACCCAGAGGGCACGCCCCCAGGAACAGCCACGCAGCCGCCAGGAGCCCTCCCAGAGGCTCTGGCCTGGGAGCCACCCAGCTGGAGGCAGCCCGGCTCACAGCAGTGACGCGAGTACTGGGGACACAACCGCACGTGATCCGGGGCTCAGCTTCAGCAGAGCCACAGAGTGGGTCCCTGCAGAGAAGGCGGGATGTGGGAAATGAGGCCCAGGCAGAGGCCGCAGGGACCGACCAGTCACGAGACCACACGGCGGCGTCCTGCTGGGTTCGGGGCCTGCCCTGCACACACTGCTCTCCTGCTCCAGGGGCTGCGTGGGGCCGGGGGCCCAGCGTCCTCGGGTCCCTTGGCCCGGAAGACCCTTCCATGCTCTCCCTTCTCACTGGGGCCATCCTGTCCCTCCCCTAAGGGCCAGCCTTAGCTCTGGACGTGGCTGTGTCCTCGGCCCCATGGCTGCCCTCCCAGCAGCCGCCGAGTCACGGCCCGGCAGGCGATCTGGCAGGATCTGGTGCTGGCTGGACGCGCAGTAGGCTTCATATGCTCCAGCACCTCCTGTATGCCCAGCCCTGGGGCACAGATGGGCAGGGTGGCCCTGGGCTTCCAGGAACCTCCAGCACCCTCACACCCAGGGAAATCATCATTAAAAGGCTCCAACTCACTCCCGACATGGCTCAGGAGGTGAACCCATTGTCTAAACAGCGAGGACGCTGTAGGGCGACTGGGAGCATCAGTACCGCACGTGGGCCGCTTTGTACCTGGCCCTTAGCAGGTGCTCAGCAAAGAGAGCTCTCCCAGGCAACAATGTTACCCACGCTGCTGTCATCCTAACTGGGCCTTTTAAACTGGATACACTTGACCCTTGAACAGCATAGGTTTGAACCGTGTGGGTCCACGGATCTGAGGATTTCCTCACTAAATATGCAGTCAGCCCTCTGCATGCCTGGGTTTCGCACTGCGGATTCAACCAACCGCGATTCAACGGACTGCGAATCGATCCAAAACAGTGTGTTTGATCCTCGATGGGGAGCCTTCGAGGGAACAGGCTGAACATGTGTGTTAGTTTGCACCACTTTATTTCTTATTTTACTTTTTTTTTTTTTGTTAATCCTCACATGAGTATATTTTTCCAATGACTTTTTAGAGAGAGAGAGAGAAACATCGATTGGTTGCCTCCTGCAAGACCCTGACCAGGGCCTGGGATCAAACCTGCAACCCAAGTACATGGTCTTGAAAGGACTCAAACCCGCAACCCACTGGTCCATGGGCCACACTCTAACCATTGAGCAAACTGGCCAGGGTTGTTTCACACCATTTTATATGAGGGGCTTGAACACCTGCTGTTCCAGCACCAAGGGTTGGCTACAGTCAAGTTCTGGGGAGTCACATGTTACACTCAGATTTCGACTGTGCTGGGGGTCGGTGCCCCTCACCTCATTCTGTTCAAGGGTCAACTGCACTTGCTCTCCACACAGCAGTTCGTCATCCCGGACGTGAGAGGTCGTGAACTGGGGCAGCTTCCCATGGTCAGTGCTCAGGAAGACACCGTGAGACCGAGTTAAGCCCCGTTCCGAACCTCTCCTGCCCGGACCACGGACAGCTGGGGCCTCTGCACAGCCACCTTTGCTGGGCACCAAGCCCCAGGCCCGGTTCCCCCACCTTGCAACAGCGCGGGTCCTGGACACTCAGGCCTCGCCGAGCCTCCCCGCCCGGGGGCACACTCAGGGGCGATCAGTGCTGGCACCGTGGACAAGGCCCCTGCAGAGCCCCTCACTCAGCAGAAGGACCCCCGCCCCGGAGCCCCTCCTACCTCCAGTCTCGTCCGGTCCACGTCTTTGGGCAGTTTCACGCGAATGCGGTTCGTCACGATGAGGCTGTCATAAGGATAGACCTGTGGGGGGAGAGACCGCAGTTCGCCCGGAAGCACTGCCCCCCGGGGTGAAAGAGCTGAGCCCAGGCTGGGGGAGGGGCATACTTGCGTCTGCACTGGACACACATTTCATGGGACAAGCACAACAAAAGGAACTTTTAACCTGGCGGGAGCGGCAGGACGAGGTCAGGGTCAGCGCGGCGGTGGCCCCTTACCTTGTACTCTGTAAGACAAAGAGCGGAGACCACAGTGGACGGTTAGAAAGCACAGAGATTGTCCCAAAGGTGGAAGCAATGCCACCAGGGACACCCCCTGCAGTCAGCGGGGCCATGCTGGTCCTGTCCCCCTGGTGGCCGCCCTGGAGCCACGGGGGAGGAGGGCTCTGCCGGTCTCCGTGAGACACCAAGAGCAGGAGGTGGTCAGGAGGCTGGAGCCAGACTGGGAGCTGGACGCGGCACTGTGTCCCCCCGAGGAAGCCGCCTGCCTCAGCTCACCCCCTTGGAGTGGGTAGGCGTTTCGAGGGTGCTGTGGAGACTCACAGCCTCACTGGGGTCTAAGCCCTTTTACTTTCTTACCCTCTCAACCCTTGAGTTCCTCCTTTCAAGTGGCTGAGCTCTGTGCACTAGAGCTAAAAAGGTTTTCCCTCCGGACTAGAAGCGCCTTATTGAAAAATAAAACAGTACGAATAGAGGCCTCCGTGAGCACACAGAACCCACAGAAGCAGAAACTGGAACCCGGGCCGCAGGCCTGTCTCGGGAAAGAGTCCCTGGCAGGGGGCCCAGGCGAGGGGGGCCGGTCCCTGACTTTTTCAACAGGACACGTGGGATTCTGGACGCGCCAGCTGTGAGCCTGGGGACGTGGAGAGCCACTTAGAGGGAGCAGGCTTCGACACCCGTGCACCACCCTGCGTGCAAACCGGCCCACGAGAGTGAGCCACCCCCACCCTGTCATACTCGGGTGACAGGGCCAGGGAGCGTTGTGCCAGCCCCACTGTGCAGGCTCAGGGCCGGCTCCCAGCTGGCAGCCCTCAGCCAGGCGCCTGCCACGTGACCGGTCAGCGCCAACCTCACAGCTGATGCCCGTGAGGTGAGCGAGGTGAGCGAGGAGGGAGCATGAGGCCCAGTTTGGCCCTTGGGCTCAGACCCGGGACCTTTCACTGTGACTCTGCCTCCCTTACTGCCACGGACTTGCCCTGCCAGCGGGCTGACGTGCGCCCTGACGGGGGCAGCCATGCCCACACAGACCCCTCTCCCCCAGGGGCCAGAGTGACAGACAATCAGGCCAGGGCCAGGGAGCGCCGCGGGAACATGGGGATGGAGATGGAGGTAACTGGGTCCCTGAGGGGAGACGCAGGAAAGAGCTCCCAGGCCCCTCACTGCACGATGCTTGGAGCCTTTTGCCAGCTGGCCGGGAGGTTGGTTTCAGAATGAGATTTGTGGGAACGCGCTAGGGACCCCTGCCCCAGCCAGAGACCTGGGGTTCCCCGTTCCTTGTACCTCTCGTGCCCCAGCTGGCATCCGGGTCTGCTCCACAAGGGGCCAGAGTGGTGTTCTGGAAGAGAAAAAGAAAGGGCAGCAGGAGGCGGGCCGCAGGGGCGGGCAGTCCGGCCGGGTCCTCGAGGCCTGGGTGGGGAGGGTGTCAAACCACCTCGGCTCAAGACGCCACTTTGGATGCCTGCGACCGCCGGGCTTGTTGCCCTCACCTGGCAGCTTTGCCCCAGGTCTCCCGCCGCCTTTCAGCCTACACTGCCCCTGCCTGTCCAGGCAACTCCTACTGAACCGCCTGGGGAGACGCTCCCGGGGCCTGGTCCCTGGGCCCTGCAGCTGGCATGGACCCCAGCGGGTGGCTCAGTGCAGAGACAGTTCCGCGGGGGTCTGGGGGTCTCTGCTCCCCTCCAGACCCTGCTGTCCCCAGATGCTCGGTAACTGATGTCTGTATAACCCCCTGGAAAGGCGCCCTACATGTCGTGAGCTCTCCTTTCGGAGTGGCTGTACGTGACGGTGACATTCAGAGGGTGACAGCTTGCCAAGGGGACGTGGGCTTGAGAGGCCGCCGCCTGCCTCAGGTACCTGCCAGCAAACTTTGCCATTTTAGTGATTCTCGCCCTCCCCACCCAGGCCACCCGCAAATGCAACCCTGCAACCCCCCAGGAAGGTCCCCGCCCCGTAAGCACTGAGTGCCCGTCGGGGTTCATCCACCCCCCGCCGTCCAGGTCCTGCACTGGGCACAGGTCCCACACGGGGTCAGGGCTCTTGCCAGCGCCTCTGAAACTGGGTGCAGGCGTTCTGTTTCAGAGAGAGGTCTGCAGTTGGAGGGGTGACGTGCTGCACCCTCGGATCCTGTTACAGGAAAGAGTGCTTTCAGCCCTAACGTACTGCAGAGGCGGTGAGCGAGGAGGCCACAGCCCGAGCCAGAGGGGCGGAAAGGCCTCAGAGAGCCCGAAGCCAAAGTCCTTCACCCCAACAGAGGACCGAGGTGGTGAGTGGGGTGAGCACATGAAGTGCAGGGTTGGGGCCGGTCTTTATTTAAATGTTTGATCTTTTGTTCATCTTGGGTTTGAATGCATCGATTCGGAGTTTTAAAAACATTGCGTTAAAACATTACTTATCTTGATTACTGGGTCATTTGGTGAGCACCTCACTGGCCTGACCTTGTCCCAGCTCCGGAGCCCCTAGCGTGACTCTCGTGACAGACTAGTTCTCCTTAGTTGTAAGAACACTTTCCTGAGACATTTTCTAAGGACACTGACAAGCACCCCCAGGTGCGCCTGTCTGGTCAGGGAATCTCCTCCCGGAACAGAGCAGGGAAATGCCGCCCCCTAGTGCCCACTGTCCTGCATCGCAGGCCGTCAAGGCTGGCCACCATGGCCCCCGTGGGCAGTTGGAATCCCTTCCTAGAGGCAAAACCAGCTTCCTCTGCTCTGCCAGGCTCTGGGACAAGACAGAGCCTTCCCGGAGGGAGTGTGGGGCATCACCCGGGTAGAGAGGGGAGCCAAGTACCAGCCCAAAGCAGGGACAGAGCCGTCACAGATTACAAGTAGGGCTGGGGTCATTCAGGACGTCTGTGGTGCAAGGGGCCCTCGGGTGGCTGCTGTATGTGTGGGCTGGCAGGGGAGCTAAGCGGCCAGGGGGGCCCCTCAAAGGCCACACCAACAGGAGCATGCCTGGTGGACTCCCTGCAGCTCTTAGCCCAGGACCACAGAAGGTAAAACCATCTGCCTCCCATTTGTTTGGCGCTATTACGCGCCAGCAGCATTCAGCCACATCTGCTCCTCTCTGGGGTCTTAGGAGGGCTTCCCTGTTACCACTTTATGGACAACGCTCAGCGAGGTGAAGCAACTTGCCCGAAACCACACAGTGAATGCCTGGTGCCGTAAAAAATCTCACTCAGGTGTCTTACGTTTCAAAAATTATACTGAAATTGCTAACGGTGGGAGTGAAATCGAGGTCACTGACCACCAGCCTAGAGTCACAGTGGATCTTGCCACCTGACGCGGCAGCCTCTGAGCCGACAGCAAGGGGAGGGACTTGCTTTCATGCTCATGGGGGAGCCACGCTGCAGAGCTTGAGACTTCACAGCTGCGATGTTACCTGTCCTCACGGCAGTCTTAAGAGGTAAGGATGATTTTTTAAAGACTAGGAAATAGATAGTCAGAAATGTATGGAACCTGCCCAAACCACACTCGTCCGTGGCAGGGCGGGATCTGAACCCAGGGCTGCCGCTCACGCACGCGCTCCCTGCAGCTAGCTCTCCAGCCGCAAGCATCAGGCTTCTTGAACTTGTTAGGGTGTCCTCGGAGTCACAGACATGAGCTTTTTTTTTTTTTTTGATATTTTGTTCAGATAGAGTGAGAGGGAGAGAGAGCGAGAAACATCGACATGAAAGGGACACATGGAGTGGCTGCCACCCACACGACCCAACCAGGGCCGGGGACGAACTGCAACCGAGGTACGTGCCCTTAGCGGGAACCGAACCCGGGTCTCTCTGGACCACAGGCCGACGCTCCAACCACTGAGCCAAACCGGCCAGGGCGACATGAGCGTTTTTCTAACGGCTCTGTGGACATGTGAAGAGAGCCTGAGTCAAGAGACCGACATGGTTCTTGCACCTCTGAGGTGGAGTTTGACATCTGCATTATTCAGCTGCTCCATGTACTTGTCACTTGATCCGTATGCCTGATTTCAAGAGCATTCTGGTCAAATCACCTGCCATACTTGTTGCCATAGCAACCAGCGTGCTTGGATTTGACCGAGCTTGCTGCACTTGAGTGTACGAGGGTCGCACCTGCTTTCTAAATCATGCCCCCGTGCATTGGTGCCCCCCTTTGTACTATTAATGCTAATTGGACACTGTCTCCTAGTAGGAGGACTCAGTCTGTTCACATTTAGCATCAGGGTTTTTCAAGGGGGTACTCTTTCGAGGGGCTGCCACTGGGGTCTGCTGGTGGCCAGTGGCCCTTCTCTGAGAAACAGGCCAGGTGGCCATATCCCCAGAAGAGCCAGTGCTGTGAGCACCCAGCAGAGTCAGGGTCTGGGGAAGGCTGCTGCTTGGGGATGAACAGCGATGGCCCCATGTAACAAGTCCCCGTCAGCAAGAATGGGGACCCCTGTGCCTCCCAGATGACCTGACCCCTTCCTCCCAGTGGACGAGAATGACGCCACTGTGTCCTCGCCATCGGGGGCTGGGAGCTGAGCTCCCATAGATTCTGCTACAATGTTCTTTCCTGGTTTTTTTTTTTATCCTCATTCGAGGACATTTTTCCATTTTTTGTACAGACAGAGTGGGAGGGAGGAGAGAGGAAGAGAGAGAGAGGGAAACATCGATGTGAAAGGGACACATCGAGTGGCTGCCACCCACACGACCAACCAGGGCCGGGGACAAACTGCAACGGAGGTACATGCCCTTAGCGGGAACCGAACCCGGGTCTCTCCGGACCGCAGGCGGACGCTCCAACCGCTGAGCCAAACCGGCCAGGGCCTTTCCTGGTCTTTGATGCGATTTTCTGCTCGTCTCCTCCTTCCCTCCCTCTCCTCCCTGTGACTTTGTGTCAATGGGGTTTTGGAGACACTGTATCTGTGCGTTTCCTCTTAGGCCACCAAGAAACCTTTCTGGAAGTAAAAACCAATCAAGAAACAACTTGGTAAGTGACTTGGGAGCTCTGCAGGCCGTGGGCAACAGTGGGTGGACCAGCGCTCGCCGGGGACCCGCAGAGTGAAGGGAACAGGCCGGGCGCTGAGCTCTGTCAAAAGGCTGAGCATCACAAGACAGTGATGGGGCCTTCCCACTGGGAAACAGGCCCACAATTACACAAGAGTCTTAGGGGGGAAAAAAGAAAAGAAAATGTTAGCAGGGAGAAAGAACCCAAAGCAAAGTCACCAGCAATATTCACTGACACCCCACGGAAGCACCACGAAATGTGAAAATCCTCACGGGATGAGGAGTCCCACCATGTGCCCCAGCACCCTCAGGGCACACAGCCTTCCCGCCTCTCCTCCCACCCGCAGGCTGGGGATGCTCTCCAAGGGGCTCTGAATTCTGCTCGCTGTTAGGGAGGGGATGGGACAGGGCCCCGCCCGAGCGCCTGGACCAGCTGTTCCCAAACTCGTTGAGAGGGAGGAGGCCTCGGACCAGCCCGGGAGCCAAGAGGCTCTCCCGAGGGGGTGCCAGGCAGGGACCACTGCGGCAGGCGGGGAAGCGCAGAGGGATCTCTGGACTTTCCTTCCGCAGGCTGAGGAAGAGCCGGCCTTGACTCGGGAGGCAGGATCCCGGCCCATCCACGACCTCCTGCCTCACCGGCCCCAGTCGGAGAACAGCTGTTCCAGGTGAGCAAAGAACATTCTGGACCACTGCCCGCAGGACCCTGCACCGAGCTCCCGTGGACTTCGGTCCTGCATCCCCCCACTTTCCACGTGGACAAGAAGGGTGAACAGACGCGATGAAGGAAACTGGAAGAAGCAGGAAGCATGCACGGCCCGCCTCAGCCCATTCCAGACAAGCGGGGGCAGTGCGGGGCCAGGGCTCCGGGTCTGACCCTCAGAGGGGCCCGTTCTGGACAAGCGGGCAGTGTGGGGTCAGGGCACCGGGTCTGACCCGCAGAGGGGCCCGTTCTGGACAAGCGGGGTTAGTGAGGGGCCAGGGCTCCGGGTCTGACCTCAGAGGGGCCCGTTCTGGACAAGCGGGGAGGGTGAGGGGGCCAGGGCTCCGGGTCTGACCGCGCAGAGGGGCCCGTTCTGGACAAGCGGGGGCAGTGCGGGGTCCTGGGCACCTGGGGGCAGTGTGGGGTCAGGTCACCGGGTCTGACCGCGCAGAGGCACCGGGGCCCGTTCTGGACAAGCGGGACAGTAAGGGGTCCAGGGCACCGGGTCTGACCGCGCAGAGGGGCCGTTCTGGACAAGCGGGGGCAGTATGGGGTCCAAGGCACCGGGTCGGACCGCGCAGAGGCACCGGGGCCCAGGACCGACACAGCGGCATGTCCCACGGAGCCTGGGGCAGATGGAGAAGCTGAGAGGTTGCCTGAGGCTCTGGGGACACATCCCTATTGGCTGTGTCCCGGTGGCCTGGCCGCTGGCTACGAGGTTCTCCTGGGGGAGGCTGGAGGGCTGTCCCCTGCGCTCCACTGATGGCTGAGATCACCACGGCGCAGTAGCAGGGTCTCCGCATTGAGTGGCTTCTCCTGAGGCTGAATCGCCTCGGTTTACAGACAGATGTCCTGAATGGGAAGAGGCTCCTGGGGCTACGTGGGGTGGGGGGGCTCTGGTGTCATCATGTCCGCCCGACCCTCACTGAGGGTCCTCACTGGGAGAGGGACAGAAACGGACAACACTTCATCAGGGTCTGGCCCCTGGGCTGTCCTGTGGATGTCCCGAGACTGGGAAAGCCTGGGGGAGGGGTCCAGCCGGCCCGCAGCTGGGAGCACCCAGAGTTCTGCGCTGCGCAGACCCAGTGACATCTGTAGTGGGGACAGCAGGGACGGTGATGACGGCGAGCGGCCAGTGGCGTTCCGGGAAAGGAAGTGGCTCTTGGCTCTCGTGCTCAGGTCCCTCTTGGGTTCTAGGACACGGGCGGCCCGGTCTCCCTGCCGTACGCAGCGGCCTCCCCGGGGTCGGGCCGAGTGGGGGGAGGGGTGCTGCCCGGTCTGTGGTCTGCAGAAGCGGCAGAGAGGCCCCTGGTGGAGCAGCAGGTACAGGCGGGCAGGCGAGCGGGGTCCCCAGGCCTCCTCCTGGCTCTGTGGTCAAGAGGCTGAGGGAGCTGGTCAGGCTCGCCAGGAGGTCAGTGCGCCGCGTGCCGGGGCGGGGTACCTACCCGGTGGTCCAAGCCATTCTTTCCGTGTCCTGGGAGAGGGTCAGATTTGGAATAGGGGAACCCTGAAACAGACACAGCACAGCTCTGTCACGCGCGCGGGCAGGCTCGGCCCAGCGCGGGAGGGAAGCCGGGATGGGGGGCAGGCAGGGGACGCAGAGGGCCCGAGCATCACACCCTGCCTCAGTCTGACCTCTGTCCCCAGGAGCCGAGGAAGAAGCCAGGGAGGTGGCGATGTCCCTGAGCCCGCCCACGACACCGGCAACACCACAGAGCCTGACGCTACCCTGGCGGGCACCTGTGTCCTCTGAAGCCCGGGGGTGAGGCTGAGCCGGAGTGGCCAATAGAGGCCCAGCACCAACCCAAGGGCCCGGAGACCATTTAAAAAATATATAACCTGAGCTGTTTGCAGTTGGGGGATTTCACTTTAAAACCCTAATTTCTAGCTTCTTTTGAAGTCTGAGATACGGGGCCCTGGCTCCCCGTGGGAAGTCCACACCGGATCTACCTGGGCTCACAACCTGGCTGCCCGTTCCATGCTGAGTCTGGAGAGAGCGGAGTGGGGCTCCCCGCAGTGTCCTCCTGCTCAGCCTGGAGGACACATGTCCTGGAAACGAGGGCGAGCGGCCGAGCCCGGCCCCTGGGGCACAGGGCTCCCCATCCCACGAAGCACCCGCAGGAGGCCTGTCCCCAGCTGTCTTCCTACAGCCCATGGGCCCAGAGAGAGCAGAGCCCATGTCTGTCTGCTTCGCCTGGGGGTCCCCGCCACCAGCTCCAGCCGGCACTCAGCTGCTCAGGTGCCGACGCACAGGGTCACAGGCCAGAGCCCGCTCCTGGGAGCTGCCAGGCTCCCCTGAGGGCTCAGAGATGCGGTCACATCCTTCAGCGGTCACCAGGTGGGTGCGTGCAGAGCTCACCACCCACTTGAGCAAAGGGTGCTGACCCAGGTCCTTCCATTCTGAGGGCTCCACCAGTGGCAGAGGAAGTTCTGGGCAGGACACTTCTGCAGGAAATGCCTCGGCTGGGGACCGGCCTTGGGGACTCTCTGCCCCTGTGGCCCTGGGGAAGATTCCGGATGTGGGTCGGGAAGGGCCTTGTGCAACATCAAGGTCCGAGTTCTCAAACTTCTTCTAGAGGAGCCCTCTTGTCACGTGAAATCGTACATGACCTCTGACACACACAACAGATGGCAGCCGGGCTGGGGGACAGGGTGGGAGAGCGGGCCTGGGGCCAGACCTCCCGGGCTGCCCCCCTTCCTTCTGGCCGATTCCTCCCGTTTCACAGAAGGGAAATGGGGGCGCAGACACAGAGGGACCCGTGCAAGGTCACCTGCCTCAGTATTCTGGGCCCTCCAGGACACACCTGCCTCCTGATTTACACAGAGCCACGCACACTTGGGGACGTGAGGCTGGGATTCAGCATCTGAGGGACCCTTGGCTGAGACGCAGAAGCAACTTAGCAGCCAGAGACTAGAGCAGTGGTTCCCAAAGTGGGTTCCCTGGAGCAGCAGCATCTGCCTCATCTGGGACCTTGTTAAACAGGCACCTTCTCCAGCCCCACCCAGACCTACTACATCAGAATTCTGGGATGGGGTCGGGCGATGGGTGTTTCAACAAGCCCTGCAGGGCATTCTGATGCACAGGAAGGCCGGGAACCCCTGCCCGGGGGTCTCAGGAACAACATTGCCCTCGCCTCTGTCCTTAACTGCTTCAAGCCTGTGTCTTCACCTGCATTCGGTACAGTCACCTGGATGGCTTTCGAACCCGCCGCCCCCAGTCTCAAGGTGAAGTGCAGAAACCTTACTTCCTCGTCGGTCACTTTATCTTCCTGACTTTTTAACTACACTTGTCTCAGGTATTCCTGCACCTACCTGGGGCACCCACATCACAAGGCATTATCATGTTTGCTTCAGCCATCAAATACGGTTTAAGTGTAAACTCATAAAAAGTAGGGGCATCTGTTATAGTCACCCCTATTTTTACTCATTCTGATGTCCCTCCCTTCTGAAGCATCAAGCCTTCTTCTGTTACTACTTTCTCTCTCTCTGGAGAACTTCCTCTTGCCAAATAGGACCATTAGTGGAAAAGTCTCTTAGCTTTCCTTTGTCCGAGAACGTCTGCATGTCCCAGTCATTCCTGAGGGATACCTTCAGCCCGTTCGAACTCACGTCCATGGCCATGTTTTCTGTCAGCATCTGAAGAGTGTGCCACCCCCGCTGGCCTCCAGGGTTTCCCACGAGAAATCGGCTGTCAGTCGAACTGCGTTTCCCTACTGAACAGACGTCTTTTTCTGCTTTCAAGATTTTTGTTTTTCCCTCTGTCTCTAGATGTTTGAAGTTTCATTACGACGTGTTTGGGGAGTGGATTACTTTGGATGTATCCTATTGGAAGTTCACTTTTTCTGGAACCTGTAGGCTTATGTCTTCTGTCAAACTTGGTAAGTTTTGAGCCGTTGTTTCTCGGAATATTTTCTCAGGCCCACTCTCTTCTCTTCTTTTGGGACTTCCATGATCCAGATATTGTCCTACAGGCGGAGGGTCTCTCTGTTGTCCAGATTCTCCGATTCTCTCCTCGTCACCCTCTCGATTCACTATGGAGCCCATTTTTTATTGTGGTTATTTTATCTTTCAGTTCTATAATTTCCATTTGGTTATTTTTTATGTTATATTTCTTTGGTGAGATTCCTTCCTTCCTTCCTTCCTTCCTTCCTTCCTTCCTTCCTTCCTTCCTTCCTTCCCTCCTTTCCTCCCTCCCTCCCTTCCTTCCTTCCGTTGTTTCACGAGTATTTGTAACTGTTTGTTGAAGCATTTCTGTGACGGTTGCCTTAAAGACCCTTGCCAGGTCCCTCCAACATCTGATTCTTCTCAGTGTTGTATCTCTCTGTCTTTTCTCATTCAAATCGTTGTCTTCGTGGTTCTCGTGTGAAGACTACTTCTCTGTTGTCCCTGGACATGTTGGAAACTCTGGGTCCTAGCTGAGTCTCCTATTTAGCAGGCTGCCACCGTTTCGGTTTAAGATGGGTTTATTATGGGTTGTGGTTCTGACAGTTTAGTCTTCAGGATGTTTGTCAAAGTGCTCTTCTGGTGCTCACCCCTCGAAGAGTGAGATGTACTTCCTGGGTTGCTCTGTGCCCCGAGCTGGGGTGGGAGAGAGTGGCCGTGGGTGGACAGTGCCCCCTGGGCCCACGCTCCAGAGGACCTCCTGCTCAGCCTCTGCTATGTGGCCAGGGGAGGAAAACATCTGCCCGGTCACCTCGTGCGGCTGCACGGCAGGTGAGACGTGGAGCCCTTCATTTTTCAAGCCCCCTCGCCATCCACCTTCCTCTGTCCCTCTCAGAGCCCTGTGGCTGTCTGCCGCATTGTTTCTGGCCTTCCCCAGTGTACTGAGAGGAGGCGAGCAAGGAGAGGGTTCTCCGCTATCCCATCCCCTAGCTACTACCTGAGCCCATTAAGATGGGTCTCTCTTGGGGTGGGACCAGCCACCAGTAGACTTCGGGGTCCCCGAGATCTTGTGTGCAGCCAGGGTTGAGAGCCACTGGTTCAAAAAGTCTCTTCTGCTGCCCAGGAGCTGACATGGTGGGGTTGTCTCAGACCCCACGGCAGAGCTGGAGTGGGTTGGGGAGACCCCGAGACACTTGAGGGACTCGTGCACTGCTCGTGGCTTGTGCCCCTGCCCACAGAACCAGAGCCCACACACGGGCTAGCCCCTGGGCCAGTAGGCAAGCCTGCTGGGCACAGTGGAGCACAGCGTGTTGGCTAAAAGTAGAGTTCCCAGACAACCCCCAGGGAATGCAGCGGGCTCTGCCTTGGGGTGCCCACTCGTGCACCTGGGCTGGGAGTGGTCTTTACCAGTGAGGGGCCAATAGTGGCTTCTCCTGGGCCGAGGTCTTCTCCCTGATATCTGAGGCCCCACCAGTCTGCGGGCCTAACATGAGTAGAAAGCAAAGGGTACTCCATCCATCTAGGTGGAGGCCAAGTCCTTGCACAAAGACCAGGCCAAATCCCTGCCTAGGAGTCTCTGCATCAGGTAACCTTCTGGCCCCTCCTGGACACCAGAGCCCTGGACTGAAGCCCTCCAGCTCCTCCAAGCCTTGCCCTCCCTGCCCTTCCTGGTTGATGGCACTGCTGGCTGGGCCCACTCCACTTGTGTGGCACTCTCCATCCCCGTGCCTTGACCACTCTCCCCCTCCCCTTCCTCCAGCAATCTGCAGAGATGGAAAGGGAGGGGGCGGGGGGTAGTTGGGCTGGAGCAGGAGAATGACACCTTATCTGGGCCTCAGGCCCTTTTGAGAATGTACGCCTACTCAGAAACACATTTTATCTGGCACACGCGTGGGGAAAGTCCTGGGACAGGTCAACCACAGCCACTGCCCCGCGCACATCTGGAGCTGAGGCCCCTTGGGACTACCTCCAGCCCGTCCGGACAGCTGCACTTGGATGGCTCAGGTCCCGACAACAGGAAGAGCCCACCTCATTCATCACTGATCTCTGAGGGAAGGTGCCTCTGCCTTCCTGAGCCACCCCCACCCTCCTAACTGCTCACACGGGATCCTGCCAGTCAGACTGTTCAGCCAGCCCATGTTACTTATCTGGGCGCCCAACCCCTTTCACTCCGGGCCGGCAGCTTCCAGTCTGTGCTCTGTGAGGTTGCCCATCTGTGTTTCAAACATCTAAAACCAGGACCTCATGGGCCTGCTCACAGCCCTGCAGTGGGCACTGTCCTCTAGCTCCCCTAGTGGACCAGGAAGGAACTGCCTTGTCGCCTGCTGCTCCCATCCCCCACCCCATTGGCTTCCTGTTTCCCCTTGACCACTCTCTCTAGCCTCCAAGTCTTCCCAGCTGCTGTTTGTGCTGCTTAGAAACCCTCCCCCAGGACACCCCCCTCAATGTATTTCCCCAGGTGCACCCCCAGGACACCCTCCCCTCGAGCCCTTCCCCCAACCTGGATGATGGAAACCTCCTTTTCTGCCCCGTCTCAGTCCTGCTAAAACGTGTCGTGAGGTCAGGGCTCTGTTGGGGATTGCTAGGATGGTCCTTCAGTCTGGGCGAGGCTGGAGTCCTCCCAAGGCCAACGATGCCCTAGGTGGGCCCGCACACCCCAGCCTTCACCCCGTCAGGGCCCCCTCACCACCCCACAGACCCAGCTTGGGGCTCCGTAAGGAAGGCCTCCCCAGGTGTCTGCGCAGGTCGAGCCTGCACCCTCCGGTCTCACTCAGATGTCCACTTCCTCCCCTGACCGCTGTGCTGAACTCGCCCCAGCTCCTCCCAGCCCCCTGCCCTGCGCAGACCGAGACACCTGACTTTCTAACCGCGTCTGTGTCCCACCCCCCGAGCGCCAGCTCCTTGGGGCAGGACGCTGTCTGCTTTGGCCTCTGCTCGACCCCAACACCCACACGGTGCCGGGATCTAGAAGGTGCTCACAGAAGGGTCGCTGAGGTCAGGCAGGCCATGCCTCGCTGGCCTGTCATAAAAGGGGGTGCTGACACTGAGGTCCTCCCTGTTCCGACGATCCTACCCCCGGGGGCCTCAGGTCACAATGCGCAAACCAGGCACACTGCCACCCCGCCCAATACCCCCATGAGATCGGCGGCCAGTCGGTGCCTCTCTCAACCGTAAACTCAGGACAGTGAGAGCAGTTTCTTCTCACCTTGAAGCTCCGGAGGATGACGGGGAGCTGACCAGGCCTCAAACCCGCACTCCCCATGCTAACAGGAGGACAGCTGGGCAGAGGTGCCGTCACCTCCCCGGCACCCACTGGGCACTGGGAGGGACGCAGGGGGGCAGGCCCCGGGCAGGGGTGGACAGCAGGCAAAGACAACACATCCCATCAAACACGGGACTCCACAGGGAGGGACAGGCAGGAGACACAGGTAACAGAGCCACAGGGGGTAGGGGGACAGCCGCTCACACTGGGGCTACCCATCTATTCGGCTTGATTCTCACCCCAAACCCCAGCCCCACATTGCTCCCACGTGCTGGGATTTGAGGAGGGGCCTGGCGTCCTTTCTAGGGATCACTGAGTCCCCGGGCAGGGTCTCCAGCTGGCCAGGGGTGTTGTCTGACACTGGAACACCTATGACCAGCCAGAGGGCGATTTGGGGGCCTTGAGAGAGAGGACAGGAAGGCAGGGCCCAGAGCAGCAGAAGGCCCATCTACATAGTCCCGGCCAGGGGAGGGACCCCGCCACCTCATGTTCCTCTGGGGGCTGTGCTTCTCCTCCTATAAGCCTCAAGACCCTCTTGTAACAAAATAAATCAACACCATCCCTTTCCTGTGCAGAGCCAGGTTCGTCCACAATACGACCTACAGTACGCAGAGACCGGAGAACACCGTGTGCGCAGCATGAAGGGAAACGAAGACGTCTCTCAGAACGTCCAGCAGGGGGCCCTCTGCAGAGGCAGCCACGCTGGCTGAGAACCACGGCAGTGCAGGAGAGGGTTGCCACTCGGGTGTGTCCCTGCTGCTCGATGGGCTCCTTCCCTGCTCGGGATTGGGGCTGGGCCACATTCGCCACCACCTCTGCGCTGCCCGGCACCAGGCCCGTCATATAGTAGGTGCTCAGTAAATGCTTGGTGGGCGAATGATGAATGACCGAATGACTCAACCCCAGCTGAGACGTGCTGATGGTGTCATGAGTGGGAGGAGGCTGTGACCGGTCCCCAGGAGCCCACGGAGGCCCTGCTCCCAGCAGCATCTCTGCCTCTCCCAGCCCCCCGCACACCTCTCGGGGACAGGGGCTGCTCTTGTCTTCTCGGGCTCCCGGGTGCCCCTCACAGCGTCTGGCACAGAGTGGGTGCTCAGTAAATACCCGTTGAATGCCATGGATCTCAATTCAACAAACATTTATTGAGCGCCCACTGTGTTGGACTTCGCGATCCTACCTTCCGGGGGCGCACAGCAGGAGTGTCGCGGGGTGCGGTGGGCATGCCTTGCTACGTGCAAACGCTGCGTGTAGCAACCGTCGTCGTCTGCAAGTGGGGCTAGTGTGGATGGACTCACACTTGGGGGCACCAAGGAACCCCGAGAAGAGGCGGATAAGCCTCTGTGAGTGCTCCTTCCCTACTTGGGAATGGGGCTGCTCCTCCCGCCCAAATTGCTCCAGGAAGCAGGCAGGGTCACCAAGACAGAAATAAAGTCACGGGATCTCCTGCTCAGAGGACAGGATGTCGAACACCAGCAGGAAGCGAGTGGATCTCATGGAATGGATCATGACTGTCGTAAGCCAGCCGCAGTATGGAGGACACACACACACACACACACACACACACAGTGTGAGGAATCGTCCCAGTTACACCTGGGTCCCGGCACAGGCAAGCGATTCCTGCAGGCCAGGTGCGCCCTCCATGGGCAGCGGCTGCGTGGCCACCGGTGGTTGCACGTGCAGGTGTGACGAGGCGGCAAGGGGCGGAGGAACAAATAAGCCCTTGCAGGTGACAGGCCCATCGTCCGGGCCTCACGGGGCTCCCCGTCTGCGGGGCACCTCAAACAACCCCGGGCCCTCGCTGTGGCGTCCGCAGGTGAGGAGGCAGAGCACGTGCTGAAGGCGACATGCCAGGCCAAAGCGCAGGTCAGCAGCACAGGGAAGTGCCCCTCCTCCCTCAGCCCGAGCCCATCGCCCTAGGTGGGAACCCCTGGGAAGAGCGGGGGAGGGGATGGGCATGCCACCGTCTCTGCACAGGAAGGCCACCTACCACCCAGCAAGGGACAGACTGGCAGCACAGAAGAGCACCCTGAGATCCCCAGATAATTTCCTGAGCGCTCTGGACCTGGGGGCTGAGGCTCGAGGCCCCTCGGGCGTGGGAGGGCCGCACGGAGCTATTGACCTGGGCCACGGGGTCCCCACCTTCCAGGCACAGCTGTCAGCAAACAGCTCAGCGTAGAAAGGCTCACTGTCTGTGCCCCTGGGGCACTGGGTGCGGGGACCAGGGAAGGGCTGGAGGACCGGTGGCCGCTGCCTGGCCAGGAGTCTGCCCTGCACCCCTCGGCCAGCTGGCTGGTGGGATGGGCAGCTGCCACGTCCCTTCCGGACCTGCTCTGGGACAGCACGCCATTGTGCCACACAGTCCCTCTGGGGACTTTTTGGGTGTGACCTCCCTGTGGTGACCTTGGGCACCGGCTCTGAGCCCCCGACATTTGGAGAGCTGTACCCCAGGAGGGACAGAGGCATGGGCCTCTGTAAGACCCCTGGCTACAAAAATCACACAAGCAGTCACTTTCCTTTGCTTGAGATCTTTAACAGCACCCGTTCCAAGCTTCTTCTCTGTCCTCCCCTCGGGCACTTTCGCCTACAGCTTGAGGGTGGGTATGGGGATGACCGACGGCCTGTTTGCTGAGCATCTGCTGTGGACCAGGCAGAGCGCGGGCTGCACACGTGTCGCCTCCCAGGGCTCTAACCACCCACCAGGCACGCAGCTGCAGCTGGGGCCCAGCGACGGGCGTCACGCCACACTCACGCGTCGGCCATGGTGAGCGGGCACTGGAACTCGGGACTCTCTCGGGCAAAGCCGGCCCCTTTCCTCTGTGTCCCTGTGCCCACACCCATCCCCGCTCGGCCTCTGCTTCGAAGCTGAGCCTCGAGCTTGCCCCAGAAAAGCACCCTCAGCCTCTGGGGCCCTGCAAGGCCTCCTGAGCACACTGATTTGCTGCCGAATGACGCAGCCTCTACAGGGTGGACACCCTCTGAGTTCGCCCTGCGTCTGCAGCCAGCTCCTCACTCAGGCTGCCCGGCATCACCCCTGTCCCCCGGACTCCCTGAGGCCCGACTCCTGGTCCCTGGCTCCGGACCAGCATGGGTCCCGGGACAATGCCGCCGTCGACTCCGAGTCTGGGCTCGCCTCCTGGACCACGCTCGTTCTGCTCTGGGGAAACGGGCCTCCACGTCCCGCCTGGCAGCCCGGAGGCCCTTCTCCTGACGGCTCTCTGCCCTCTTGCCGGCCCGGAGTGTTTGGGGACCGGCTGGTGCAGCCGTGAGCCGCGCACTGGCCAAAGAGCGTCCGTAGAGTCGGGGAATCGGTGAGCGCCGAGGGCCTGCTCCCGCCCGGCGTGCCCTCGGGCCTGTCGACTTGCGCCTACACTTTGGCAACGAGCAAGGCTGAGATCTGGGGGATCAGCTTGAAGCGCGGGGCCCTGTGCTGCGAGGTGTTTGGTGCCACGCGGGCAGCTCCTCGTTCAAAAGAACCACTCACGTGAGTAAAGGCTGTCTTCCGGGACGGCCTGGAGAGGGTCCCTGTCGGGGCCGCTGCTGTGGGACAGAGCCTGGCTGTCTAGGTCTGGAGAGCTAGTCCTCGTGTCTGCATCCCCCTTGAGAACCAGCCAGCTGGGCTTCTGCCGAGGAAAAGAAGCCATGTGAATTTTGAGGTCATCTGAAGTGGCACTACCCCGCTTGACAGATGGGGAAACTGAGGCTCAAGGGGCCCAGGGCCCAGATGGCTTCACACGGGGAGCCAGGTGAGCCTGCCTCGGGCTCGTCCACACACACCTCCCTTCCTGCAGGACGAGAAAGGGGGCGGGGCTCCGGAGGCAGGAGGGCGGGACCCTGCCCCGCCTTCTCCCGCACTGAAAGCCCTATGGGCACAGTTGTGCCCGGTCCTCACACCCCCCTCGGGCGGACCTGGCCCCAAAGCCTGAGACCTTTCCTCTGGCCCTTTCCAGGCCTTCGGAGCTGGCCGCATGGAACCCAAGGAGCGGCACCCCCGGGGGAGGCTGAGGGTTCCAGCTGGACAGGGGCCCTCAGAACCAGGTCTCTTTCTGCACCAGCTCTGCCCCTGCTTTACCTTCCTGTTATCCGGGTCGAAACCTCCGTCCTCCCCCTCCAGGCGCCTCGAGGCTGGAAGGGAAACATGGACTTGTCGGGGCAGCACAGCGCTGACGGCTGGTCACAGCCCCGGGCTTGAGCTCTGCCCGACCACGGAAAGTCACCCGGGCAAAGGCCAGCCCCCGAGCCTTGCCAGGCCAGCTGGAGAAGCTCCCTGGGCACACAGCACCCCACGCCGTGTGCCCTTGGGGTGCTGTGTGCCCTTGCAGACTTTAACACCAAAAGCAGGGCTGAAGGGATGCCTAATGCAAATTCCACCAAGCCCCTCCTCCCCCAGATCGGCCTTGCTTGTAGGCGCCACCCACACGGCGAAGAACACACTTCCTGCCTCCCGAGTTCAACTCCAGAGCAAGAGGGGGTCTCGGGCGTCCAGCCCGTCCTGGTGCGTCATGGACATGGCTGCCTACCCCCCACAACCCACTTCACAGATCGGAGGGCTGAGGCTCAGGGTGATGCCGTGCCTTTCTCAAGGTCATGGATCAGCAGGTGGCAGAGGCTGACCCTGCAGCCCAGGCGGTCTGATTCCTGGGTCCTTCCTCTGACTGCCCCCCTCACTGCTGGGCGCCCACAAATCACCAGAGGTGAGTGAGCTGTGCCCCCGGAAACAGTCATGAACGGCGGTAACGAGAGTACTCCGTGCACCCAGAGGCCACTGTGTGGGACGGAGCAGGTTCCTTTCCCGAGACTGTTTTGTGGGGCTGAGTTGTGTCTGCTCCCCACGGGCCTTTCTGAGGGGCTGTCACCCAGCCGGACCGACTGATCGCCGACCAAGTCTGATCGAATGGGTCAGCAGCCGGTTCAGTCTGTAAAGACCCAGCCGTGCACCCGGCACTAAAACACCGACCCAGGCTCAGAGCAGCCGAAGGGAAACCCCGGGTCCTTCCCACCCGCCACAGAGACCGCGGCGTCAGGACATGCCAGGGGCTCCTTACCTGCCGCCTGCGGAGGGCTGGGGCCTTCTAGTCTTTTGGAGTGCCCTGCCTCACGCACCACCAGGGACAAGACTGACATCAGGCCCGAGAGCTGGGACACTGGGGACTGGACTACAGGACCTTGACAAGATAAGGCCACAGATGAGGACCGTTCTGGGTTTCGCTCGCACCTCCTTACTCCCGGCGGTCACCTGCTTCTCCCTCCGGGAGACACAGCGATGTCACCGTGAACGTGAAAAGCTGGTCCCCTCTCTGCCCGCAGAGGCGACAGTGCCGAGGAGTCGGGGATGGAGAGAGACAGGGCGCCCAGAGGGGCACGCGTGCCCACCCACGGGGCTCTCCTGCTGCCCGGAATCCAGCCCTCGGGAGTGGAACCCTGCCGGGTCTGGCCAGCCATGGCCATGGCTCTTGGCAGCTGCCCAGAAAGGCCAAGGACAACCAGGCCAGCGGCCGTTTAGCTCTCTGAGGCCACTGCTGTTGTCCAGCCCAGGCCAGGGAGTGAGCCACCTCCCTGAACAGCCCGGAGGCTCCCAGACAGTCCGCCACATTTGGGGTAACTTGCAAGTGCAAAAACAACTAGGGGCCCTCTGGGATGTGAAGTCCAGCCCTTGGAGTTGAGGCTGCAGGGGCGCTGGCCCCCTGGGGTCCAAGACTTCACCGCCGAGGATGGCAGCTGCCTGACTTCTCAATGCAGGGCTAAGCACGGCCCACTGTGTGGCGGGCGGTGTTCCGCCCGGGCGGCCCAGTCTCCTCCGCAGACACCGCCGGGTCCTAACCAGACGGGAGGCACGGCCTTCTCAGGGCCCAAGTCTGCCAGCCCGCAAATCCCACGACGGTCCCCCGGGCAGGGAGGCGCTGGAACCCGCCTGGCACGCGGCACTGCGTGCTCTTGCTCCTCACAGCTCCGAGCCTCAGTTTCCTGATCTGTAAAGTGGGCAGGTGACGCCCACCCGTCCGAGTGGTGAGGACCACATGGGATATGTGGACACTGGGACATGTGGGGAGTTGAGGTTCGAACACTTGGGAGCCACCAAGGGGGACTTTGAGGCGAACTTGTGGCACACGCTTCAGGTCAGGACAGGAGAGGCCCTCGGGCGGCAGGTGATCCCGTGAGCGTCCTTCCCTCACGAGGCGGCTCCGTGGGCCTGGAAGGCACTTCCCACCCTCGGGAACCTGTGTTGTGGCATCCCCAGGACAGCAGGAGCCTCTAACTTCCCTTCTGGATACAGCCTGCCTCCCTTTTTTCTATCCCAAGAGGACCCCAAAACCAAAACGAGCCTCAACCCCACTCCCCAGGAATTCTAGAGGCACGAGACATGATTCATTCCTGTTTTAAACCAGGGGCCACGGAAACAGCCACGATGCCTGGCCCGTGGGGTCCCCTGTACTGTCTGGTCTGGGGGAGGCTCTGAGAGGCAGGGGTGACACCCTCACTGCTGTCAGCGGGCAGCTGGAGGTACTGACGCCTGCCTCCTGGGAAACGGGGCGGCATTCAGGTTCCTCTTGAACCCATTTTTGTTTTTTATTAATTTTAGAGAGAGCGGAAGGGAGAGGGAGCGGGAGAGAGAAACATCAATCAGATGCCTCCTGCATGCCCCCTACTGGGGATGGAGCCCCAAACCCTGGCACATGCTCTGACCCGGAATTGAACCAGCAACATTTTGGTGCTGGGATGATGCTCAACCAACTAAGCCCCATGGGCCAGGGCCTCCTGAATTCATTTCAAACCAGCTGAACACTGGGCCTGGCTTCCCTCCACTAAGGGGCTGGCCCACCAGAAGTCCTGCTCTGCTAAGACTCAGTGCGGCCTCACTTAAACCCCCTCCAGGCTGGACAGCCAGCCAGACGGCCTCGAACCCCCCTCCAGGAGGAGACAGTGCCGAGGGGGTGTGTTCGCCGGTGATGGGGTCAGAAGGGGGGCCGGCTGTGATCTGAACCGCGCCTCCCTCACCACGAGGCTGCGAGTGAGTGGCATTCAGGAAGACCTCAGAGATGTCTCCAGTGGCCCTGAGCTCCAAGTCCCGGGCAGTTTACATGCGTGGGGGAGCCCGACTGCACCGCCCCCAGCCCACCCTACGGCCGACCCTGTTCCCAGTCTGCTCCTGACTGCACAGGGGTTTCCCCTTTGTAAATTGTCCATTCATTTCCTTTGGCTTCCTTTCTTCTCTTCCTTATTCTTTTACTTAAAAAGCCATTAAATCGGCCGGTGGTGTGGCTCAGTGGTTGAGTTCGACCCATGCACCAAGAGGTCGCCGGTTCGATTCCTGGTCAGGGCACATGCCCAGGTTGTGGGCCCGATCCCCAGTGGGGGGCGTGCAGGAGGCAGCCCATCGATGTTCTCTCTCATCGATGTTTCTCTCTCTCTCTCCCTCTTCCTTCTTCTCTCTCTAAAATGAATAAAGAAAAAAAAAAGCCATTAAATCGTAACCAAGTAGAGTTGGAACTGCTGTAGTACAAAAAAATGCTTCTAAGCCCAACAGGCTGTAAAATGAGGGCCAGGGGTCAGGCAGACCTGGGTGCGGACCTCCGCTTGGCCGCTGACTGCTGACTTCACTGTCCGGTGGCCGAGTCAGGACATGTGGGGAGTTCAGGTTGGAACACTTGGGAACCACCGAGAGGGGGACTTTGAGGAAGCGGCTGTGGCGCGGCCAGTGAGCAGTGCAGGACGGTCACACGAGTGGTGGCCTCACACCTCCATCCCCACCCCGCTAGGCCCGGCCACCTGGGGCGGGAAGACGCCGACCAGAGCATCGGACAGGGGGTGCTAATGAAAACTCTCCGCAGGGGCCCGGACCGAGCGTGGAAAAGGGAGCACCCGGTAGACGGCCCAGGCTCTCGGCCCGCTGAACGCGTCATCTGAAACGGGTCAGGGGCCCAGCAGCTCAGCCCCACGCCCACCGTCTGCCGGGAATTTGGAAACCGAAGCGCGTGCTTCTCAAGCCCGCCCTGTCCCCGTCCCTGAGACCGGGGCTGCGCACAGTGTCACTCGCAGGCCTGCATGCTCACACACACTTCCGACAGGACGCACTCCCCGGGGTGGGGGTGGGGGAGCTGTGCAATGCAAACGTCCGCAAGTATCGCACTCAAACGCCTGCCGGCGCATCGGCCCTCCCCGGGGTCAGCTCAGGCACGCGGGGAAGGAACGCCCACGCCAACCGTGTGACCCGTTTACAGTCGGTAGGCGCCGTATGTACTTCACGGAAGAACCAATAGGCCCCACTTCTGGAACGTTCCAAGGATTTGGGTCATTGCTCAGGGTGTGGTGAATAGAAGCTGACTTCCTCTGGGAGGGAGGGGCGTTTATATCCAGATGCAGGGCAGCGACCCAGAGGACCCCGGCGATCGGACCCTCCCCCCACACCTCAGCCTGAGGGCTTCCCGTCCACAGTTCTCTGCCTAAGGTCTGGCTGGCCGGGCCACACGCTCCCGAGCAGTTTCAGGACCGACTCACGGCCTCTGCCCTGCTAAGTCAGGTCTGGGGCTAACAGAAGGCCGGGGTAGCAACCCCACTTCCAGGACGAGCCCTGGGGCGGCATGATGGAAGGACAGCTCTTCCTTCAGCTGGGCCTCAGTTTCCCCACTCGTACACGCGGGAGGCACCCCGCTCTGAGGCTCCGGGAGATGGGGGCTCTAAGCTTCCTTTGCTGGGACAGGAAGAGTCAGTTTCATCCTTTTCCTTCCTTGGGAAGAGGAGCACACAGGCAGGTGCAGGGCTGACTGCGGTGGGGAGAACACAGCGACGCCTGTGGTCTGCACCCTGCGGCTCCGAGCCGCCCGGGAGCCCGAGAGCCCCGTGTGTGGACTCCGCCTGGGAGCGTCCAGCCAGGAGTCAGTGTGGGCAAGGCTGTGTTCTGGCTGCATCTGAACAGGGGCTTCAAGTGTGGGGCTTCCTCCGCCGTCTCCCTAGTGACTGCTAACCACCCCCATGGCGTGCACGGCCCTTCACGCTCACACGACCATCGGTCCTCACAAGCAGCCGTGGAGAGGGCGGGGTGGAGGGGCCCGTCCCATTTTGCAGATGAGGAAACAGAGGCTCTCTCAGAAATTCCGGGAAGACGGAGGGGACGCCTTGAGCCCCCTCCTCCACGGCCCAGCCACCTGCTCCCTGTGCACCTGCCCCAGCAGGCCAGGTGGAGCTGACCTGGGTGGTCACCTCGGAGAGACCCTCTCGCCATGGAACATCGCCAGCCCGTCTGCTGATGCAAGAACTGCCCTTCCTGAGGGCATCGTTTTTTCTCTCAGCAGCAATCAGCACAGAGGACCTGCGTTCTCACGCCGGAATAGTGACTGACCGGTGTGCTCTGCCTCCCACTGACGGGCTGGCTCAGGCTGCGCCCGACACGCTCGCCCCCCCACCTTGGCTGCAGTGAGTCTGGCTGCTTCTCTGCAGGTAGCAAAGTCCAGCCACCGGAGCCAGCTCGGCACCAACGCCCATCCCGGGCCTGGTCACTGTGGGTCAGCCTCTGGCTACTGCACACTGGGTGCCCTTACTCGGACCACCCTTCCAGGACCTGCACAGGGCCCCTCCCCGGGGCCTGCAGGGCATCGGCAGCTGGTGTTCAGTCTGCGGGGCCTCTGCGCGACCCCATCCCCATCACCACAACCCAAGCGAGGACTCGGCACGGGGACCACAGGCATGCAGGGACATGCGGCAGAGAGACCCACTGTACCATGCTGCTTGTAGATGGGGGGTTTCCTATAGATGTTATCTTTGACGCCAGAGTCTGGGAAAGAAGAAGAAGAGAAGGAGAGAAAGCGGGGTCAGCAAGCGAACCGCAGTGGCTTCCGCCCCCCTGATTTCTCGTCAGCGTGCACCAGTCACCCAGGTTCAGAATCTCCGGAGGGGACCCGGGACCCCGAGAACGGCCGACACCCAGGCCCCGCCACCTCAGACCGAGCCTCCGCCAGCCCAGATGCCACCCCAGAGTGAAGGGGCAAAGGGAGCGGCGGTGGCCAGAGGCGCTGGGTCCCCACCAGCCCGGGCAGCTGCTCCCAGGAGGGCCAGGTGTGCCCCTGGCATCTGCCGGCCTTTAGCAGAAACGGGAAAACTGGGGATTTCCCGATTCGGCAAACCCATTTCCCGATCTTCTGAAGCAGCTCAGAACTGGGGGGGGATGCAGAGGCCTGGGCATCACCCAGCCCGCCCGCGGGCCCGTGCCTACCTGGGATGTGGAAGTGGCGCGGGGCCTGCTGGTAGGTGGAGGGGGGCCTGCTGTCCGACAGCACGGAGAGGCTGGGGGTGCTCCGGCCGCTTTCACTGCCTCCAGGCCGAAGAGCAGAGGCAGCGGGTGGGGGGAGGAAGCAAAGCAGAGTATTTCAAGCGTGAAAGCTGATCCCAGTGAGCCCCACGGCCCGCCTGGGGGCCGCCCACGCCTCTGCCCGGGGACGGGAGTGTGGCCCCACCGACATCGCCACAGTGGGCCCAGGACGTGTTAATCCAACCTCGCGCCCACCCTGCCGCTGGCCCCGAGGCAGAGGGATGGTGGCTCCGGTTCCTGAGAAGGCCGCCCGGGCCTCTCGCGACACCCCGCTCTCCTCGGGGCGCACAGCGGCCTACTGCTGTGCCCCGGGCGGCGTCTGAATGTGCAGAAGGCCCCCTTCCCGGGTAACTCATTCCGGAGAAGCCACGGCTGGCAGTCACATCGGACTCAAGTGCTGGGCACCTGGAGTATGTCCGTGGGGGCCACAGAATGGAATTTCCTGAGCTACACAGACGAGACTAAGCGGCGTCACTCAGCTGCCACAACCCGAGCGGGGGATTCTGGTGCATCACATGGAGATTCCAAGCCTGGCTCCCATTTCTCCTCCCGCCTGGAGTCGTCATTTCTGCCTCTCAGACAAGGTTGGATTATCAAGTCCAAAGGTAGACCGCAGGGTTCCCAGGAGCGCCCCCACACCCGAATCTCAGAATGACGTGGCAGACAGAACGCAATGGCACTGGACACTTGGACGACGAGGTGTGCAGCTCGCTGCAGAGACGCTCAGAGGGCACAGCGTCCCCTCTCCCGTTAGCCTCAGACCCTTCCGCTGCACCCGTGGCAGCTTGGCAAAGGGAGGGCCACTCGTGACACCAAACACCCCCTGGAGCCGTAGCTCCAAAGCCTCGGGACCCCGAGGTGATGAGGCGATGCTTCAACAGCAGGGGGCTCGATGCGGACCTGAGGTGGCCCGGCCGGGACCGTGTGGTGGCTGCAGCGAAGGCGCAGGCTTGGAGGCAGCTCCTGCCTGGAAGGGGTGCACTGGGGCCGGGGGGCTCACAGGGGCGGGATGGGGTTCAGCTCCAGCAGGCCACAACCAGACCCCACCCAGGCTGAGGCCGCAAGAGGGCTGCTGACCAGCTTCAAGCCTCTTCGTGACTGGGCAACAATGTCATCTGTCAGCGCTGATGGGACTTCGGGGAGAAGACTGTCTACTCCCCTCGAGGTGTGAACCCTGCTTCCCCCAGCTGCTACCCTCAGGCACAGCATGGGGCCCCCAGGGCTCCATAGCTTCATGCCCGCCCAGACTCCTGCACCTCCTTGGGGAGAGGGGCCCCCGGGGAGACTCTGCCCCCAGGCCCAGACCCACCCTACACTGTGCCATGGCTCACCATCCCCAGGGGCTTGACCAAGTTCACCTGCTCGGACCAGGACAGCGAGGACAGCTCTCCTGGGCACCTTCCCCAAGATGGGTGTGCTCTTGGTACAGTCTATTGAATCCAGGAGGCCTCAAAGGGGTTGTTTCCCTCTGCCCAGAATTTATGGCCCCTCGTCCACCATCCTTCCCAGGCTGCAGCCTCTAACATGCCACTGGGGTCCTGTCCCCCAGCCCCCAAGCCCCAGTGCAGTGTCCTCCCAGGTCACAAGCAGCGTTGTGTGCGTGTGTGTGTGCGTGTGTGTGTGCACGCGCACATCTATCTAAGGAGGTCCCACAGCTTCCAGCAGGTGTGCAGGAGGCCCATACCCAGGGTCAGCTGGGGACGCAGGTGTGGCGGCCCCAGTGTCCATTACGCCCACCTCACCTCTGCACCCCGGGGCCTCTACCTCAGTCGGCAAACTCTCAAGATCTAGGTGCCTGCCCACACTGTTTCCTCCTCGCCTCCCCCCCCCCCCACATACCCTCCTGGAACCCCCTTCCCAACCCTCCCCACTTGTCTAGACCCCTTCTGGGCTAAGGCTCAGGTGCAAGGCCTCCTGGGGGACACAGCCCACCACTCATTGCCCTCTCTGCCCTTTCAGTGTGGCGTCACCGTAATAACACGCGCTGCTCACACGGACCCTGCACAAGGCCCCTTGAGCCCTGTGCCCACGTCAGCGCTCAGAGTGCCCACCAAGCCCAGTGGGGCGCCACCATGGCCGGGTGGGTCGGGGCCAGTGTCCTGGTGACACCAGGCTCTGGTTGCTGCTCTGGGGCCCAGCCTCCTCCATGGGCCTCGGCGGCAAAAGTCCCGCATTGGGGACATCACCGGGACGTGAGACAACCAGAGGAGCCAGGCTGTGGGCGGACGTGGAGAGGGCACAGGGGTCCCTCTGACGAGGCTCCTGGCTTCTGCCGGAGGTGGTTCAGGACCGAGGCCGCCTCCATGAGAAGGTCCGGGCGCCCGGGAGTGTGCCTGCTCCAGACGGGGGCCCTCGCCTTAGAAGAGCCACTTTCTGCTCTTAATTCAAGCGAATGACACGTGAGCGCCGTCTCGTGCTGTGCAGTCCTGTCATCCATCACTGAGGATCACTGGACGGGCTGCGTCAACGCCGCACTCGCTGGGCTTGCCCCTTTCATCTATAGGGCTGTCCCTGCCCAGCCCCCGCCCGGGGCACCACGGGGCTTCGGCCGGCTCGTGTCCTCGGGCCCCTCTGGGCGAGGCCGGTTCTTCAGGCCTTGGCGGTTCCGAAGTCCTGCCGGAGCTTGTTAAAGGTCCCTCAGCGGGGACCCGCCTGCTGTTTCCAGATTAGACTGACGCTGTGGTTCTTGGGAGAAGACCACAGAGAACTGCCCCCACCCATCAGTCAGGGACGCCTGCTGCCACGTGACCCGTCGCCGTGAGGGTGGCCTGGGCCTCCGATGCCATGTGACTGTCGCCGTGAGGGTGGCCTGGGCCCCCGCTGCCACGTGACTGTCGCCATGAGGGTGGCCTGGGCCCCTGCTGCCACGTGGCCCGTTGCCATGAGGGTGGCCTGGGCCCCGGCTGCCACGTGACTGTCACCGTGAGGGTGGCCTGGGCCCCCGCTGCCACGTGGCCCATCGCCGTGAGGGTGGCCTGGGCCCCGGCTGCCACGTGACTGTCGCCGTGAGGGTGGCCTGGGCCCCCGCTGCCACATGACTGTCGCTGTGAGGGTGGCCTGGGCCCCCGCTGCCATGTGACTATCGCCATGAGGGTGGCCTGTGCACGGTGGTGGCCAGGTTGCTCTGTGCATCCCCTTCCCCACCCCTAGGGAGGACGCGCCGGGCACAGCCACAGTTGACGAGTCTTTCTGAGAGGGGTAGGGCCTGGGCGCAGCTGGACACCACAGAGCCCACAGGCTGGGCCCACCGGAGCCCGTGGACTGAACGAGAGGAGAACAGGGTGGGCTCCCTGGGTGTGGCCTCAGAGGCGAGTTCAGGGCCCACAGTGGACACGGCTCCGGAATGAGGCCCTGCTCTGGGCTCTGCCGTGTTGGAGCTTCGGGACGAGGCCAGCGAGTTGCTCTGAGCCTCGGTGCACTCTGGGCTGTCGGGAAGGAGGCTGGGCACCTGGAGGTCAGGGCCAGCCTGGGAGTCGGCAGGGCACAGAGCCCTGGGGGCAGGTGTCCTACACCCTACACCAGGCAGCAGGCTGGGGCTTCATCTCGTTCCCGAGCTAAGGGAGCTGGTGGCCCAGGAAGCCAGTGGGGAAGCAGAGGCCAGTGTGACCCGTCATGGGGCCGTGGCCTGTGCCACCCAGCTGACAGCACGGGCCTTCTGCCCTGGGGACCCCTTTGAACAGGCTACACCCCAGACAGTTTCTGACCCCATCTTGGACAGGGGGCCTGTCTGCAGGGACTTTGCCCGCGGGTGGCAGGAGGGCCCTGCTGCTCCTGGTGGGGAGCGTCTGCCTTTCCCTCTGCCGCCCGGGCTCTCTCACGTGGCGGGGGATGGGGCGCTGCAGGCGTGGACCACTGCCCGGGGGCCCGGCCTCGGCTCAGGTCCATCCTGGCCTTTCCACCCCGACGTGGTGAGAACTCGACGGTGGACCCAGAGAGGGCAGAGGAGCAGCACTCACAGGGCCTGCTCCGGCTCCAGGCCCCGCGGGACGAGTCTCGGCCGAAGGGCCTCCCGGGCCGTCAGCGCAGCTCGAGGGGGCTGCCGGGCGAGGATGGAGCAGCCAGGACAGCGCGTGTCCCGTGGCCCTGCTGTGGCAGCCCCAGGCAAACCAGGGCCACGTCGGGCGGGACAGGAGCTGGGCGGGACCTCTGATGTTTGAGCAAAGGAACGACTCCTCCCATAGTCAGGCTCACTGGTTTGTGGGAGTCCTCCGTCCACCGCTGGGGAGGGCCACACTCTCACGGGCCACGCACATCGGCAGCAGGGCCGATCATCGGACGGTCATCAGACAGGTTCCATGGTTCTCTTACATCCGGCAGGGAGTACCCCAGTGCTGCCTGCCTCCCGCTCCCTCTGGGACCAGAGGTTCTTCCTGAGCCCTGCGGAGCAGCTGTGTGAGCGGGAACTCCACTTTGCCTCCTGGCGGATGAGCAAGAACATCACTGCTGCTTCTGCGCATGCCGAGTCTTTCTGCGGGGTAGTCAGCTAGGGCTGACCGGGGGCTCAGACCGCAGACCCTGACGCCTCACAGTTCTGGAGGCGGAAGCCGGCGGGGTTCGGGTTCTGGTGCGAGCGCCCGTCCTGGCTTGTGGACAGCTGTCTCCACGCGGCCGCCCCCCTGAGTGCACAGTGACTGAGAGACCTCCAGTGTCCTTCCTCTGCCCATAAAACCACCAATCCTACAGGACTAGGGCCCCACCTTCATGACCTCATGTGACCTTCATCACTTAAAGACCCTTTTCTGAATGCGGTCACACTGGGGGTTGGGGCTTCAACGTCGGGGCTCTGAGGAACACAGTTCAATCCATAGCATATGGGAAAACAAAACCCCAGCCGCTGTCCGAGTGGGGCTCATGTACCCTTTCTGTGCAGGGATGTGGACACTGGGTGGGTCTGCACCCTGGGAAGAGGGAAGGGTTGGAGCCATGCGGGGCGGGCACCCTGCCCGGGTCACCCTGTGTCAGGCCGTGGACAAGCCCCAGGCTTTGGTCCTGACATCCACCCCTAGCAGCCCCTGTGCCCACGGGGCTGACGGGAGATGACGGAGCCGAGGGTGGGCGAGGACAGGTCCTACCCTCTCCCTGCGGCCTTTCCCCTGCTCCTCACATCACCCGGCACCTACGTTTCCTCCCAGGAACATTCGCACATGGACACAGACGGCGGGACTGGAGACAGTGGGACACAGGCGTGGGGAAGCCATGCGGCACAGACAGACACACACGCGGGCAAGCGCCCGGCCAGCACCACAGCCCACGGCACTGCGCGCCTTACCTCGGAAGTAGGGGACGTAATGATGTCTGAACACGGAGGTAGGGCTTGGGTGTTGGGACAGGGACAGGCAGCTACTGGTACCAACACTCACAGTACCAGCTGCAGGGCAACAGAGAGCAAGTCAGAGTCTGCTTGGCTTGCTGGCCGCGAGCACAGAATTTTCCCAGGCCCCACCAGCTAGGAACATTCCGCTTCCTTGCTCTAGGAACGCAGACATTTCAAAGGGGAGTCACCAAATACGCTCCAGGCTCAGAGTGAGGAAGCCCTGCTCTTGGGGGACAGGAGCTGCTGGCCCCCTGAGCCCGGCCTGTGGCCCACCTGGGAGCTCCTTGGAATGGAGGACACAGGTGGAGAGCAGCTGGCTAGCCTGGGTGTGCAGACTGTCACCTAGCCATCAAAGGCCCAAGCATCTGAGATTTGGGGCTTGGCTTTCTGGGCTTACCACATGGCTGGGACAGTCCACAAGCTCAAGTGACCCCAAGCATGGTGGTCAGGGGTCAGCAGAGAGGCCCAGGGAGGCCAGCTGCCTTTAATCCCTGACTCACCGGCTTGCTTACTCATTCACTCACTCATTGACTCACTCACTCACTCATTCACTCACTCACTCACTCATTCACTCATTCACTCACTCATTCACTCATTCACTCACTCACTCACTCATCCACTCATTGACTCACTCACTCACTCATTCACTCACTTCACTCACTCATTCACTCATTCACTCACTCATCACTCATTCATCCTCATTCACTCATCACTCACTCACTCATCCACTCATTCACCTCACTCATTCACTCATTCACTCACTCACTCACATCATTCACTCATTTCACTCACTCACTCACTCATTCAATCACGTCATTGACTCACTCACTCCCTCATTCACTCACTCCACTCACGTCATTCCAGGTACTTCACATTCACATCATTCACTCATTCACTCACTCACTCAACTCATTCACTCACTCATTGACTCAACGCACTCCACTCATCACTCCCTCACTCACGCACTCACTCATTGCACTCACTTCACTCACTCATTCACTCATCCTTCACTCCCTCATTCACTAATGTCACTGTTCACTCACTCACTCCACTCATTCACTCCACTCATTGACTCACTCACCTCATTCACCTCAACTCACTCACTTCATTCCCTCATTCACCACTCATCTCATTCACTCACTCATTCACTCACTCATTGACTCACTCACTCACTCATTCACTCACTCACTCACTCACTCACTCATTCACTCACTCACTCACTCATTCACTCATTCACTCACTCACTCACTCATTCACTCACTCATTCACTCACTCACTCACTCACTCACTCATTCACTCACTCATTGACTCACTCACTCACTCATCCACTCATTCACTCACTCATTCACTCATTCACTCACTCACTCACTCATTCACTCATTCACTCACTCACTCACTCATTCACTCACTCATTGACTCACTCACTCACTCATTCACTCACTCACTCACTCATTCACTCATTCACTCACTCATTGACTCACTCACTCACTCATTCACTCACTCACTCACTCACTCACTCATTCACTCACTCACTCACTCATTCACTCATTCACTCACTCACTCACTCATTCACTCACTCATTCACTCACTCACTCACTCACTCACTCATTCACTCACTCATTGACTCACTCACTCACTCATTCACTCACTCACTCACTCATTCACTCATTCACTCACTCACTCACTCATTCACTCACTCATTCACTCACTCACTCACTCATTCACTCACTCATTCACTCACTCACTCATCTACTTTCCAAACTTCTACCCCGAGCAGGTTATATCAGGCACACTGCAGGGAGCCAATGAAAATAACTTTGCAAATGAACGAGCTTTGATTTCCCACAGAGGCTGTGAAATCGAGCTGTGAGCTGTGGTCTGCGGCCGTGGTGAAATGGCAGCAAGCAGCAGCTGGCCGAGGAGGAAGCAGTGTGGAAAAGTCCCTCAAAAAGGCAGCGTCCTTTTTGTGTGTGGACCATCCCCGGGGCTCTGACACTGAGGGTGGTGAGGACTTCCGGGAGCGGAGGGACAGCAGCACACAGCTGGGCGCCAGGCAGAGAACGGGGGGAATGGGTAGAGGGGACCCTGCACGGGGCTCCCCCTGCTCGAAGCAGCCTGGCAGTGGCCTCTCTCCGATGTTCCCATGGGACCACTATCTTTGGGGCCACCAACCCAGCTTCAGGTGACGTGTCCGGGAATATTGACTCTATTTTCTGGCCACTGATTTTGCCTTCACACCTGAAACCTTCCCAGTCCCACGTGAGCCGGGAACTAACAGCCTCTGGTCTCCTTGCATCTATGCGACTTCGTGTCCTGACTTCTCATCTACTGAAATGTTCATCACGTTAGCCAGGCTCTGGGTGCTCAGTTCTGCCCCGTGTTTCACAGCGCGGACCCGCTGCCTCTGCAGCCCCGCCTGGACATTGGAGGGCTCCTGCCTATGTCACTGACCAGCTGGGTCCCCATCACCCACAGGCAGCCCCACACCCGCCCGTCATCTCTCCTGTGCTGCATACGGATGGGCTCCCGCAGAGTGCAGCAAGAATTACAGCTGCCCGGAGCGCGAAGAGGCCATGGGGCCAAGTACCTGGCCGGCTGTAGTGCTGCGGCGACCGCGAGGTGGGGGTGTAACGTCCAAGGCTGACCGACCCGGCGGAGCTCGGGCTGGAGGTCCGGCACAGCTTGTAGGAGCGGTCGTCCTGTTCCCCCTGGGAGGGAAAACAGCCTGGTGAATACAGGAGCCAGGGCATGGCTGCCTCCTCCCGCCCATCCACCCTCCACCCGGGCTGGCTTTCCGGACCTAAGAGCCGGACTCAGCAAGGCTCAGGATGACATCCTGCACCTTCGGGACACAAACGAAGAGCCAGATGGGGGCCTGGCCTTGGCGCTGGAACTCCTGCAGGCCTGGGCATGGTGCCCGTGCCCACCAGGCTCCAGAGGGCAGTGTCTACCCGCCCCCCCCAGCAGCCCCTCCGGAGGCTGCGGCTCCCACGCAGGCTGGAGCACTTCCTCTCCTCCGTCCCTCGCTCCCCTCCTGCCCACTCCTCCCAGAACCACGGAGGTCTGCACCCTCCCGGCCTGGACGGGAGCCCCCAGGCACGGGAGGGAGGAGGTGCCCTCCGGGGCCCCGAAGCCCAGTCAGATCACGAGCACGGACAACGCAGACCCCATTCAAGCAGGATGAGCAACCGTTCGGCGTGGTCAGAGCGGGCAGCGTGGCGTGAGATGGCGCGGCGCACGGTGCAGGAAGAGCAGCCGCTGGCCCCCACGCGGGGCTCGCAGCCCTGACTCACACCACCAGCCCAGCGCCCGCGTGGGCGCACGCGGCTGCCCGGCCCTCGCGGCCAGCGTGGGGACGAGCAAGGCCGGAGTCCGGGTCTGGCAGTCACGGCTCCCACACTCCCCACACTTCCCTGCCGCCTCCTGGGGCTCTGTCCCAGCCAAACTGGATGAGCCTGTCCCCAAAGCTGCCTGTGCTCCCCACCCGCACACTCTTCTCAGGCGAGTGCCCCTGGCAGTGCCCCCTGTGCTGGCCGAGCCCTTCAGTCTCCCAGCCCTGGACATGGCACGGTCCCAGGCAGCTACAGTCCCGCTGTCCAGTCCCGTCTCTGGGCACCCTCTGCATGGCCTGGTGTCCTGTCTCGTCATCTAGCCCGTCCGTGGGGCTCACAGGCCAGTGGCACGGTTTGGCTGTCGAATTCCTGGTCCGAGGGCCTGATGCCCACGCAGACGGGAGTCTGGCTGGCAGCTCTCTACGCCACTGGTCACTCTGAGAAACCAGGGGAAGCAGGCTGCTAATCCAAATGCTATCGATAGAGAAACGCTTCCAGAAGGTTCATCTGCGAGGACTTCCGGTGCGTCCCACGCGGAGCTGCAGCAGGGGGACTGGGCTTCTCTCAGGGAGCCATGACCCAGACCTCAGGAACCCGGGCCCAGCGTCCACACCGGCAGGGGCGGGCGCGCCGGAGAGTCATGCAGGGAGACGTGATTATAAAAATAACCAGCGCCGAGGAGGGCCCCAGCCGCGGAGCGCCAGGCCGCAGCGGCCCTCCTGGGGCGGCAGGTGGTTATCTCCATAACCCGCAGCACCGTGAGCACGGGGGCGGTTACCTCAGTCGGCGTTGGCGAGAGCAGCTGAGGCGACTGTGGACGCAACACAGAGCAGCCCGTCAGCGCCGGCACCAGGCGGCCCCTTGCGGGAGGGACAGCACGGGGCACCGACGCTCACACGGCGGGACCCTCTACCCAGGAGAGGAGCCCGCCGCGGACTCCTAACCCTTTCACCCAAGAGAGAGGCCCAGGACAGTCCTGGCCCCCAGCACCCCCTGCTCCCTCGAGAGGTTTCTCCAGCAGGAAGACTATTGGTTCAGGGCGTGGGGTGGCGGCACCCTGGGTGCCAGAGAAAGGACTTCAGCTTGGGGCTGGGGTGAGGTCCAGCTCTGCCGTGGTGACCATGGGACCTTGGGGAGCAGTGGCCCGCCTCCCCAGCCGGGACCCCCTTAGAGTAGGAGAGCCCCGTCCGCCCCTCAGACATCTGCTCTGGGGATGGTGGCCGAGTCCCTAGGCCTCTGCGGTGCCTTCCTCCTGAGCCTCGGCCAGGCGCTGGACAGCGAGGCCCTGAGCCCAGTTCAGGCAAGTGGTAGGTGGGTGAGGGTCAGGACCCCACTGCCACCAAGCCCACCGGCTTCTCTTTATGGAACTTATCACCAGGCCCTTGGGGTCCTGTAGGTCCCTAGGGACAAAAGCCAGTCAGGAGGGGCACCTGTTGGCCTCAGAGCCAAGGAAGCTGTGGCCTCGGACCCTCCTGCCCCACCTCGAGCCCACCGCCATGCCAGCCACTGTGACTGCAGCCGGCGTCCAGCAGCCAATGTCCGGCCGTCGCCCGGCCCGGCGGGGCCCACTCGCACCCCCTGAAGCGCACATCCATGGAGCCCAAACCCACTCCCGAGAGGCCCCGTGGGGAGACTCCAGCAGGAGGCCAGGACACGTGTGGAAAATGCAGCCCTCCTCTGGGCCCCCACCCCGGGACGGCGCATACCCGGGCCAATAGCTGGCAGACACTCTCCTGCGTGGCCCAGGCCCTGCAGTCACACGGAAACCCCCAAACCACCCAAAGGAAACGAGAAGCCCACGGCAAGCCCTGTGTCACATGGAGGAGGCCAGCGGCGGCCGTCAGCAGCGAGGGACGCTGCCCACGGGGACACGGGATAAGCCTCCTGGGAGTCAGGGAGCTCGAGGAAGCCACGGGACAGAGGGACAGGCCACGGCCGGGGGGGTGGAGCAGGGCCAGACTGTTCTGGACAAAAGAAAACTACATTTCCTACATCATGAAAATCACCCCAAACTGCCAAAGAGGAAGGGTTCTCACTCCGTTCCTGCCGTTTTCCTGAGCGCCCCACACAAGGGGCTCTCCCGGGCTCAGGCCCCAGTGGGCTTCATGGCACTGGCCCGGGGATGATGGGCAGAGCACACGGGAACCCTCTAGAAGGATGCACGGGCTCGTCTCGGGGAGCTGAGAAGCCCGGCATCGCGAGAACAGTGCGGAGGAGGCGGGGGCCGCACCTCTCCGCAGCTCTGCCTGTCCGCCGCCGAGTGGCTGACGTAGGGGGAGTAGGAGATCATGTCCGGGCGGTCGATGTTGTAGATGGCCTTGCTTTTAGGAAGGGCCGCCAGGTCTCTGTAGTCAAGAATCTCATCGCCCAGCCTCGCCTGCAGGAGAGAGAGCAGGGGGCACAGCTGTGTGGCACGGCGAGTCCGAGCACAGTCCCCGAGGGTGAAACGGGCTGGGGGCAGGAGGCCTCGTGGTCACATGGCCCAGGTCCCACTCCTGGCCCTGGAAGAGCCACTGTGACCTGGAGGAAGCGCCCTCTCCGAGCCCCACTGCCTCTCTGCAGAATGGGGGGGGGGGGCCCAGAGGACGGCTCCGGAGTCCAAGAAGTGCAGCCTGAGACGTGCCTGACACAGGGCCCAACGGACAATGACACTTAGTTTGTGGCCTAAAAACAGACATCTATGTATGCACACAGGCAGCCACATACACATCCAAACAGATGTACTCGTGCACACAGACAGCCACACACACATCCAAACAGATGTACGCGTGCACACAGCCACACACACATCCAAACAGATGTACGCATGCACACAGACATATGTACACACATCCAAACAGATGTACGTGTGCACACAGACAGCCACACACACATGCAAACAGATGTACGCGTGCACACAGACAGCCACACACACATCCAAACAGATGTACGCGTGCACACAGACACACGCACACACATCCAAACAGATGTACGCATGCACACAGACAGCCACACACACATCCAAACCAATGTACGCATGCACACAGACATATGTACACACATCCAAACAGATGTACGTGTGCACACAGACAGCCACACACACATGCAAACAGATGTACGCGTGCACACAGACAGCCACACACACATCCAAACAGGTGTACGCGTGCACACAGACACACGCACACACATCCAAACAGATGTACGCATGCACACAGACAGCCACACACACATCCAAACAGATGTACGCGTGCACACAGACACATGCACACACATCCAAACCGATGTACACGTGCACACAGACAGCCACACACACATGCAAACAGATGTACGCGTGCACACAGCCACACACACATCCAAACAGATGTACGCATGCACACAGACAGCCACACATCCAAACAGATGTACGGGTGCACACACACACGTGCACACACATGCACACATGTGCACACACATGCAAACCTACACCCACATGTGAATACAAATACATGTACACACATAGCCCCATACATACATGTACACATTCTCTTGAATAAAAATAGGATACACACTGCCCTAGGAACACACAGATCTACAGGGTACCCACAGCGCTGCCCGGCCCCCATGTGCCCAAGCACAGCAACATGAACAGCAGCTGTGAGCACCTCTCTGTGCCAAGGACCCGGGAGCGGCTGGGCCAACCTCTGTCCACGTGGCTGGGAGTCTGCACCAGCCCCGCTGCTGGGGAGGCAGCACCGACACCCGGAGAGGACACCCCAGCCCTGGCTCACTCGGTGGCCATCCCGGGCCTCACCCCTCCCCACTCCCCCGAGAAAGAACCCTGCTTACGTAAATCACGCGGCTGGGAGACCCCGAGGTGCTGGACGCGGGCACAGAGATGATGCTCTCCGAGGACGTCCTGGTCTCCTGGGAAAGGAGGTGGGGAGACAGAAAACGTGTCAACGGGGAGACCCTCCCAGAGGCGCTGTCCCAGGCACGCAGTGCAGGGCTGGCTCGCGGGGGGCCGTGCCATTGGCAGGTTGAATGGATTTTTACAATAAACAGGCTCGAATGGCCAATTGCAGAACTCACCAGGCAGACAGAGCAGGTGACACGGGCCACAAGCAAAGCAGGGACGCGGTCGGCTTACATGGCGCAGAAGGGACGAGAAGGGAGCGATGGGCTTTAAAGGACTCTGAGCGCCCGTGGCCAAGGCCATCTCCGGCCCAGAACTGCTGCTCAGAGTCGTTTCCGACCCAGATTACGGGGACACGGGGCAGCTCGTGCCGCCAGCTGGGCTCTGCTGCCAGACTGCAGGGCAGTCCCGTGGCCCTGGAGACCAGTCTGACGCCACAGCTGCGTCTTCGCCCCCCAACCCGCCCACGCCCGGCCCAGCACCCGCAACTGGTAGTGACCCCGCATTCGGTCCGGCACCCAGATCTGTCAGAAACAGCCCTCCAGAGGGAGCCCTCAGTCTTGGCCGGAGTGTCTCTGTGGCTGTCCCACGAGGAACCTGCCCCTCCAGTGCCCGCTGCTGCTCGGAACCAGGCCTGCCCCCCAGCACATCTGCTTCTCCCCAGGGGATGGTTCCCCTGTGTGTCTCCTCTGCTGCCCCCCTCAGGTCCACCCCATGTCTGCATGGACGCCCTCCTTCTCTGGCTCCAATCACCACACCTGTGTCCACCCCCACCTGCAGGGCGTGGCCTGGCCCAGCTCCACCCCTGCTGGCACCCCCCCCCCACCTGGCTTTCCACTCACCCTGCCTAAGGAACCCATCGCCACGAAGGGCACCCCAGCCAAGCACTCAAACCCCTCTCCCCACCCCACCCTCTACCTCCCCTCTCCTTTCCTGAGCAGACCCCTCCCGCCCCAAGTCTGTCCAGCCCCTCAGTGGTCCACGCCCATGGCAGCCTGGGAGGGGCATGTTGTGTCCCCCAAACTCCTATGTGGAAGTCCTCACCCCCAGCACCCACAACATAACTGTATTTGGAGATAGGGACTTTAAAGACCTAGTTAAGTAAAACTGGGGCCTTTAGGATGGCTCCAGTTCAATCGGACCGAAGTCCTTATACGGAGATTAGCACAGACACACAGAGGGACGACCCTGTGAGGACACGGGAGAGGACACCTCAACGCCAAGGACCAGGACGGTCCTCGGAGGACCCAGCCGGTCGACACCTGGACCTCGCTGCAGCCTCCAGGACCCGGAGGAAGTAAGTTCTCTGTCTAAGCCAGTCCGGGATGTCATGGCCCCTCCCCGGTGGACACCTGCTCCCCCTACACGCAGCACCGCAGAGCAAGGACAGGATCACACCAGGCAGCCATCAGGCACAATCCTGGAAGGCACTGGGGGTGGCACCCGGGCAACCCAGCTTCTGCATCTAGAAGGGAGAGGGGTTGAGGGCATGATCTTGCCGCTCACCTCTGCACCGGCTCGCCCACCCCTTCCACACCCCTGGCATCTTCCAGGGTGAAGCTCAGGGCTGCCGCCTCCTGGAGGCCTGCCCTGCTTTCTCAGGCCCTTGGACTGGGCTTTGCATGCTAAGCAGGGCATAGTCTCGGGTCTGCCTGTCCCCTCAGACCACAGGCTTCTGAAGGTGGCAGGGGCTGGGTCGCCCCACAGAGCTCAGCCCGAACCCACAGTTCAGGCCCAAGTCCTCGGCCACCCCCAGGTGAGACCTAACATCACGTGCTGTTTGCCAAGGAGAGGGTGCCCCCGGAGGCAGGGGACACGAGGCGGTTCTTCTCGCTGACTCTCTGGCAGGACCTGTTCTCCTGGCCACAGTGATGTGCACGTACATCCTACACATCCGAAAACCTCCGCATCTCGCCTCCCTTCCCCAGAGAACGGAAGCAGCTCCCGAGGCTGCTGCGGAGGCTCCCGGATGCGGGGCGCTGGGCTCCAGGTCCCCCGCTTTCCCTCCAGGTCGAGTTGGGCCCTGACAGGAAGCCCTATCGAACACTGGCATGTTTTCAGAGCCGGCACCCCGAGCTGGGCACAGCGGGCGGCACTGTGCTGCCCCCAACCCCAGGGACTGTCCCTGGCTCGGGAGGGCCCACTCGGTTACGTGGGCACTGCTGTGACCAGGGTGCTCGGGCCATGTGGGCAGCAGTGGGTCTGTTTGTTCTGGCACCTTAGGGCGGTCCCAGGCCAGCGGCTCCCGGCGCCCAGTGCCCAGCCCTGTGCAGAGGGCACAGCAGCAGAGAGCCTGCCGGTCACTGAGTCCAGTCGCCCAGCCCAGACGGCAAGGGAGCTGAGTGGTTATTGCCCCAGAGTCCAGAGACTGGGTTTTCTCTCACGTTCTCTGTCCTGACTGCAACTTGCCCAGAAGAACCTCAGAATTCAACCCAACGCCAGCTGTATTCTCGGGGCCTCATGCACCCCGCAGAGTCGGAAGGGGCCGGGCAGCGCACCCCGCCCCAGCCTGCTCAGCCTGGCCCCCAGAAAGCACCGCGTACGACAGTGACTGGGGCCCCCGCGTCTCGTGGGGCCACACACAGGTCTCCTCGACACCCCTCGTCTCCATGTTAGAGGGCTCGGGGCTCAGAGAGGGCCAGCGGCTGGTCCACCGTCACACAGCGGGGCAGAGGCACAGCTGGACTCCAACTGCAGGGAGGGAGCTCGCCCAGGGCCTGGCACAGAGAGGCACTTGTTCAAAGGCTGCTGAGCACACCCCCAAGACAGGCAAGTTCGTTCGCATTCGGATTGATTCAGGTGACAGGGGCGCCACCTTGACCTGGGGGCGGTTTCGGGGAGTCCATGAGGCCCAGGCCAGCTCTGTGCGTGTCTCGGGCCGACGCCTCCGGAGCCGACCCTGCCCGGCTGACCGGAGCTGACTGGGTCTGGCTGGTTCATGGTCATTACCGGCTCTCTCTTCCTGCCACCCGGGCCAGAGCGGCCAGCTGGCCGGAGCGCTGTCTCCAAGGGACTTGCAGGCCCCTTGCACCCCCTCCCGCGGCACCCTGGCCGGCCCAGGCCCCGAGGTTAACCTCACTTCCTGGCCGAGACAGAGCAGCTCTGCGGGCTGGGCGGGGCCGAGGCGTGGACAGGGTGAAACAGGGGGCAGACAGGGACAAGCAGGGCGCGACCGGCCCTGGATCCCGCCCGGGGGCACAGCGCTGAGCAGCGGCTGCTCTCAGGGAACAGCCCCTCTGGGAACCGCCCAGGAAGCTGCCCTGTGCGCACCCCGGGCGCCGACCCTCCGCCTCCCGTCCCTCCAGCGCTGAGCGCCTCCCCTCCACTGGGGAGTGGCCACGGTCACCCCGAGCTGCCTCTGGGCTGGGTTCCCTGCAGGCCCGGAAGCCGGCCACCCTGACCCATCCTTGGGTGGGCCTGCTGCGGTCCCGGTCCCCCTCCCTCCCCGTCAGTCTTGCCACGCGGGCCCAAGCGCGTGTGGTCTGGAGCCTCCCGGTGTGTGGGTGCCTCTGGCAGGCCTCGGCTGGGCCTTCACGTCGGGATGGAGGGGTCCACAGACAAAGGCCAGGCCCGGGGTCACCGCAGGTCACAGACTGTGGCTCTGGAGGGTGAGCATGCTGCCCGGCCGCTCCGTAACCGTGGAGGCTCAGCGACGTCCCCAGCGATGCTCAGGTCCTAACTCCCAAAACCTGTGACTGTCGCCATGGTGACCAAAGGGGTTTCGCAGAGGGGCTGAGGAGCCTGCGGGGTGGCTGTCCTGGACCCCAGGGGAACCCCGAGGAACCACAGGGTCCTTATGAGCGGAGGGGCAGCGGTGTGAGTGGTGTGGGCCCCTCTGGACCCCAGGAAGACGTTGGGAAAGCACAGCCTTTGGCCAAGTTGAGCATCTGACCCCCAGCACACAGGGACCCACTGCGTTGGGTAGGTTGTCACTGTGCCACACGGAACGGCCAGGCCACCCGGGTCCTCCCACGGCTCTGTGTCCCTGGGGCTGGGGACAGCTTTCCCGTGGCTCCTCCCTCCTCGCCTTCCCACAAGCCCAGGCGCTGGGCTAGCGGCTGGGTACTCCGCCCGAGGTCCCTGGCAGTGGGGTCAGGGCTCGGCCCAGGGGAGGTGGCGGCCGATGGGGGGAGGAGGCGGGGGCTGCTCTCCACCCGAATCCCAGTGCCTGTCACTCCAGTCACGCTGCGGGAATAAACCAACATGGTTTACTGTCGGGGACCACTGACTGGAAGTCGTCTCCAGATGTGTGCCCTCCGTCAGTGACCCTGAACCAACGAAGAGGTCAGAGGGCCAGGGCAGGGGAGCCCGGGAGGCCCCTCGCCCACCCTGCCCCATCCCCACAGCCTGCGGAAGCTGCTCCGGGCCCCTCAGCGGCGCGGCAGTCACAGGGGCGCGGTGAAGACAGCGGGGAACAGGGGGCTCCACCAACCTTGCTTTTGTCTCCGGTTCTGGCTGCTTGTCGACACTCCGGGTGCCAGATGGAGGAGCCTGGGGACAGATTCCCAGCAGGGAGGTGTTAGTGTCACTGCCTGGGGTCGGCAGGGGGGAGCAGGGGCGTCCAGCACCTCCGAGGAGTCCTGCTCCCTCTGGATCGGTGCTGGGCTGGGGACCAGCAGACCACTGGCCCTGCCCCAGGGGACTCACAGCCTGGCCGGGGGCCATGGCACAAACCCCCCATGAGCTCCCTGCTCCCACAGGGGCTGCACGGGCCCCTCAACCTGGGGGGAGCTTCACGTTCAGAGGAGACAGAAGGGGCGGCCCGTGCGGCCTGTCCTGCTCCGCCCAGTGGGGGACAGCTGGCTGGAGGTGGGGTGGGAACTGGACTCAGGGACAGGGCTTTGTGCTCTCGGGTGGGCGGCAGGAAGGGGGAACCTCAGGTGTGGAGTGAGGAGCGGGACCGAGAACTGGGGGCCGAGGAGTATCGATTTCTCGCACCTGTGAACAGGCCCGTGACAGCCCAGCCTCGTCAGGCCGGCCGGAGGGGCTGCTGCACTTAAGGGTCAAGGGGTCTGTGAGCCGCAGGTTTGTCATCATGACATCCCAGCAGTTCCCTCTCACCCTTCCTGCCCAGAGCACTGGCCCCCGGACCTCCCCGCCCCTCGGCCTGGTCTCCCCACTGAGCCCCCCTCTGCATGTCGTCTCTGCCTGTGGCGTGGCTGCTGCGTCAGGTTCATGCCCGGCCAGCGCCATGCCCGTGTCTCTCACACTCTCAGGCCCCCCACCAGCCACACCGGGTCCGGCACACAGAAGGGGCTTAAAAGTGTGTGCAAGGAGGCAGACCACCCTTTCCAGCTCCCACGCCTCCAGGTCACATGATTAATGGACTGATTACTGACCCTGTGTGCCACCCAGAGCTCCCAGACACCCCGATTTGGGGAGGGGGGGGGCAGGGAGAAGGGGTGTGTGTAAAACATTCATTTGAAAAATTGTTAATGATGAGAATGCTAATAGATGTTCCTTATTAAAAATTAGAGAAAACTAACAAAGTGTAAATAAGAAAATGAAAACCATCCATCGCTTCCCCCCACCCTTGGCTGTGCCGTGTCCAGGACGCGTACATCACCCAGAGCGGGGAGTATCGTACGTACGCCGTTCGCATCCTGCAGTTTGGACTTTGAAATGTCCGGAACATTTCCCCATACAATGAAGTATCACAAATGGATTGTGCTCGGCTGGTGTGGCTCAGTGGTTGAGCATCGCCCCTGCACCAAGAGGTCACTGGTTTGATTCCCGGTCAGGGCACATGCCCAGGTTGTGGGCCCGATCCCCAGTGGGGGGCATGTAGGAGGCAGCTAATAGATGCTCTCTCTCATGGATGTTTCTCTCTCTCCCTCTCCCTTCCTCTCTCTCTGAAATCAGTAAAATAAATAAAAAATTTTTAAAAAGAAAATGTATCGGGCCCTGGCCAGTTTGGCTCAGCGGTTACAGCGTCGGCCTGCGGACCAATGAGTCTCGGGTTCGATTCTGGTCAAAGGCACGTACCTCGGTTGCGGTCGGGTCGTGCGGGAGGCAACCAGCCGATGTGGCTCTCTCTGTCTCTCTCTCCTTCCCTCCCACTCGATCTGATAATAAGTAGAAAAATATCCTCAGATGAGGAATAAAAACAAAATAGTGTCCGGGGCTGTGTGGCTCCATCGGCAGGCAGCTGAGAGCGATGACTGTCTCCCTCGCCCCTGGTCTCTCAGTAATGGGCGGGGCTGACCCCCCATGTCCTCAAGGACCTGCTGGGCTGTGGGCATTGCTAAGGCTCCTGATGCATGTTGGCTGTTCCCCAATTCCCGCCCCCGCCAGGTCAGGGGCCCCCTTCCTCAGATGCTCCTTTTCCTCTTTGTCACCCTGGGGGACAAACGGCACCTGCTTGTTATTCTAATCTCATCACCGTGAGAGCCAACATCCCAGCCCTGTGGTTATTGGGAAGAGTCTATGCTGGGAAGGTCACCCAGAGGTCGAGGTGATGGGGGAGGGGGGCCTGTTTCCTCATCATCCAGGCCGTGGGGCTCACCGGGACCCCTGCCCTTCAGAGCTGGACGGCACGAAGCACCTGTCACATAACACCTGCGCGGAGCCCCACATCCAGGCAGACTAGGAAAAGGGTTTCGGGGTGTCCAGGCAGGGTAGGGGCAGAACCCCCAGAGAGGCCCCTGGACCTAGGACTCCTGTGGTCCGTGGCTTGGACCTCAAAACCCTTGACCTGATCAGACGCCTCACGTAACCAACTGGAAATCTGGGCCGGGAGAGGGACGGGACCGGCCTCCGCCTCGCACAGTGGGTCACGCAGGACTGGCCTCGACGGCGGGGGGCCAGCCTCAGTCCAGAGCCGTGAGGGGCGTCTTTGTTCCCTGAACCTGGTGTCCGTGGCGGGGGCTCCTGACCCATGCGTCTGCCCCGCGGCAAGCCTGCGCCAGGGGAGCCTCAAAGCGCTATTCACGGGGTGGGCGCCTCGGGCAGGAGCACCGCTCGCCGCCAGACTCAAGGAACAAGAGGGGACACTGGGGACGAGGCCGTCCCAGCTGACGTCACCCCATGAGCTCGGCCTCAGAAAGGGAGGCCTGTCTGGTGCACAGGCCCAAGACGCCGCGGCATGATGTCACCACACAGCCGTCCGCAGGACAGTCTGTGCTCTCCACCTGCCTGGCCTGCTCCGCTGCCCCCGCCACGGGAGACAGAGAAATCATTGAAAAGACACTGCGGCTGGAGACGGGACCATCCTCCCAGGGCCCCTGGGGAAGCTTCTCCACATGGCCAGGCCTCACCAGGCCCCGTGGGCTCTGCCTCCCACCATTGCGTGCCCGCCACCCCTGCTCAGGAAGCCTGCTCGGGCCCTGCCCCCAGCTCCCCGCTGCCTGGGGGGGGCTTCCTGACCACCAGTCCACACCCCGCTTGTGGAATGGGTCCGAGCCACGTCCGCTCCTGCCCCAGGGCCTGAGCGGCGGTTTCCAGGCTTACCTTGGAGATACATCTCCTCGCCTTCGGCAAACATCCGGCCACACCTGACGCACAGGGCGCACAGCGGGTGGTAGTGCTTCTCCCCAGCCTGAGAACAGAGCACAGGGGTTCTGCGGGAGGTGCCACGGGCGCGGCGGGCAGGCGTGAGGTGTGGGTGTGGAAGCTGGCTCTATCCGCTGGGGCCCGTCTGGGAGCAGAGACCTGGGGGTGTCACCGGCTCCCAGGTGGTGGGTGACGGGTCGGCCTCCCCACCAGGCAGAGGGCCAGGTCCCACTCACCTCTGTAGCTGAGGTCACAGAAGGAGGAGAAATGGGAGGGGGGCAAGCTAACATTATTTCCCAGGGGGAGCGACTAGAGAGGTGAGGTGAGAAATGACTCATTTTCTTACGTATCTTTGTCTTGCTTGATTTTCTCACTTAGCATTTTTATTACTTTAATCGTGCTTAAAACTCATGAAATTAGATTAAAATAGTAATACTGAAATAACCTAAACAAATTACATTCGCTGGTTTGGCTTAGTTCTACATGGTGTCCCCCCAAAAGAAACCCAAAATCACCCCAAAATATCGTAGCAGCGTTACTTCATAGCGACTATTTGTTAACCCTACAGTGGGAGGGAGGGGGCGCTGCAGCTAAATGTGGGTGCTCACCCCCACGGTTCTCTCTCTCCTGAAACGGGAGGGAGCCTAACGAGCACGTCTGGAACTGTGAGGGAGAATCGCCCCCCTGAACGGCAGGGGTGGTGCTAACCGAACGGTACAAGCTTCCCCCGCGCGCCACGGCCCCTGCACACCAGGCCCAAGGCGACCCCTGTGCACTGAGAAGGACCCAGAGCAGGCTCGGAACGGAAGCCAGACCCTAAGAGCGGATTCATCTCCACACAATCCGAGACACTGCTAGAGTCAGGTGGCTGCCCCTGGGGCCCGGGGTGTCTGGGCCCAGTGGTCCTTTGTTTCCACGCCTCTCGCATGGTCTTCGGTGAGTTCAGTGTGTTTGTACAAGAACTGAGCTGTGCGATCCGGGGGCTGCCATTCCAACCCGATAAATGCCCGTCACAGAAGGTCCCCTAGCTGTGGCCCCAGAGGGATCAGTTAGCGTCTGTGACCAGAAGGCCAGCCAAAGCCACTCAAAGCCGAGACAAGGCCACGGGCAAAGGCTAAACACTTTTGATTCCATAGGAGCTGAACCGAAACCCTCTGGATGAGACGCCGCCACTGCCCACCAGGGCGGAGCGTGTCCTTAAAGAGAAAACCAAGTGAACTGCGCCACTGAAAACACTACCCTGCAGAGATGGGCCTTCCACACCTCAGCCCCTGAACATGCACACCAGCCGATCAGTGAGCGGTTTCCACCCTCGGTCCCTGAACATGCACACCAGCCGATCAGTGAGCAGTTTCCACCCTCGGTCCCTGAACATGCACACCAGCCGATCAGTGAGCGGTTTCCACCCTCGGTCCCTGAACATGCACACCAGCCGATCAGTGAGCGGTTTCCACCCTCGGTCCCTGAACATGCACACCAGCCGATCAGTGAGCGGTTTCCACCCTCAGCCCCTGAACATGCACACCAGCCCATCAGTGAGCGGTTTCCACCCTCAGCCCCTGAAAATGCAAACCAGCCCATCAGTGAGCGGTTTCCACCCTGAAAACGAAGCCCCCCCCAGCTCACCTTTCCAGTGCACTCTCTGGCCTTTGGAAGTCACTAGTGGTGCCACGTAGGTACTACCCTGGAAGACTCCCTCATGGCCCACCCTGAGGAACGCTAGGAGGGCAAGAAGCTTCCGTTCCTCCTTCCTGCCCTGCCCTCCAGGGAGGCTGCTCTTTCTCCGCGGCGCCAGCTCGCGGGGTCCAGTTTGAGAACATGTATCAGGCGGCACATCCGCGCTCGCCTCCGTGGGCAAAACACCCCCCGTGCAAGTTTCCTCACAAAATGGATCAGGGACCTAACGTAAGAGCTAAAACTATAAAACCCCTGGAAGGAGACGCCCGTGCGCCTTCCTGACCCCGGCCCTGGCCGTGGACCCCTGGTGGGGGCACCAGAGTGGCAACAACGAAACAGGGAAACTGAACGTGTACGTTAAAACCTTCTGTGCAAGACACGGTATTATCAAGAACGTGGAGAGGCGACTTCTAGCCCAGGAGAAAAGATTTGCAAATCGCAGATCTGACAAGGGCTTGGGGTCAGGACATGGAGAAGCCTCACAGTCCGGCTAAAAGATGGGCAAAGGGCGTAAGCAGACATTTCCAAAGAAGACACCCAAATGGCCAGGAAGTGCCTCAAATATGCTCACCGTCACTGTCACTACGGAAATGGACACCCAAAGCCCAGTAAGATACCACTTCACGGCCCTGAGGGTGATGATGACAACGCAGAACAGAAATACCACGTGCCGGCGAGACTGGAGCAGGAAACCGGCACATTGGTGAGAGGTAGTGGGCGCAGTGGCCGGGGGAAACCGTTCGTCAGCGCCTGAAAAGTACAGACTTCCCCTGTGACCCAGCAATTCCACTCCGGGGCATATAAGAAAAACGAAGAAAACAGAACGAAAATAGGGAAGACATAGGTCCACACACTTGCACATGAATGTTCATGGCAGTGTTTTTTCTCAGTCATCAAAAGGTGGGATCAACCCAAGTGCCCGTCAGTGGGTGAGCAGATAAACAAAAGGTGGTATATCCATACAGTGGAATATTACACAGCCATGAAAACGAGTTCTGTCCTGACACACGGGCTCCCACAATGTCTCCTAAGGATATTTCTGTCCTGTAAGATGAGACACAGTGCCCCTTCTCTGCCATGTGAGGACACACGCAGCCCAGGAGCGGGCCCTCAGCAGAACCACATGGACCAGCACCACGGCAATGGACTTCCAGCCTCCAGAAGCATGAGAAACGACTGTCTGTTGTTTAAGTCATACAGCCCGTGCCAACGGAGTCGGGCTCACAGAGCTAGAATCAAAAGTGCCCTTGCTCCTTCTGTGGATCCCTGTTATCACTCCCGTCCTCTCTCACAGTGGCCTCAGTGACCTGAGGTGTCCCTCGTCACCAGAACACGGCTGCACTCCAGCTCTTCCAGGGCCTGTTCCTCCCAATTTCTGTCCTAGAAGGGCCTGGGACATCAGCACCCGGGGTGTTGCCAGCCCAGCCCCTTACCCAGCTGGGGCTCAGAAGGCTCCGATTTTCCATGTATATTAAAGGCCTGTGGGGTTTATTGTGTGTGGCTTCGCAAAGCTGTCTTGTGCCTCTGACAAGTGCTGTCATCCTTCATGAGACAGGCAGGCTCATCAGGACGCAGGAGCGCAGCTCCCTGGGGCACAGCTGTGTCTCACAGGTCCGAGTCGGAGGGGAGGGCTGGGGGCAAGCCCGCTGGGGACGTGCAGGGCAGGGCTGGTGCCCAGAGGTGCCCTGTCTCTGGGCTCCAGATCCCCCAGCCCCCCGCAGAGAGGAGGCGCGCCCCTTCCTCACTGGGCTGTGGGAAGCACAGTGACCGGCCCTCCGCTGTGGGGTTGCACACCTGGGCAGCACCCCTTGTCCTCCCTGCGCCGTCCACGGCCTCGGACACTCCCCAGCGCCTACTTGCTGAGCCCTCCCTGGAGCCCGCTGCACAGGACGGCACCGCATGTCCCCCGCCTCCCGCCAGCATTCGCAGCCCGATCGGACGCTTTCGCTTCCTGTGCGAATTTGACCAGAAGTGAGTCCAGGCCTCACAAGACCTGACCCCAGGAGCGCCCCAGGGAAACGGGACTGACCGAGAAATCAGCCCCTCTGTGGGGGCAGCGGGCAGCGGGCAGTGCGGGCAGGCCCCCGACCCCGAGAGAAGACCTGCCCTCCGCACACCCCTAGGCCCCTGCGGCCATCGCTGACCCCGCCGCATCACCCCGCCTCCTCCGCGGCCTTGGGACACGCTCACTCCGTTCACGGCCCCGCCAGGCTGCGGCTCTCCGCTCGCCCTCTCGCCCTTCTCGCCATCCAGCTCCGCTGGGGCGTGAGCTTCAGGATGGGCCGTCCCTCCTTCTCTGCAGTCCCCAGGCCCCAGAGAGCCACACGCTCACGCCCCACCTTCGGGCATCGCCGCAGGGCAGGGCTCTGAGAAGCCCTGCTCGGCGTCTGCTCGGCACCCTGGCCTGCACCCGAGCCCAGCGGACGGTGCTGATGCGCTAGACCAGGCCTTTTCTTTAATCCTCACCCGAGGATATGTTTTCACTGATTTTCGATAGAGAAAAAGGGAGAGAGATAAACACTGATGTGAGAGAGAACCACTGATCGGTTGCCTCCCATACGCACCCTGACCTGGGATCGAACGTGCAACCTGGGTATGTGCCCTGACCAGGAATCGAACCCACCACCTCTTGGTGTCCAGGAGGACACTCCGACCGACTGAGTCCCCCGGCCAGGGCTAGAGACCAATGTCTGAGGACCAGGACCACGGACACTGATGTCCTGTTGAGAGCAGAGGCAGGGCTGTGAGAGCCGGTGGAGGCAAGTCAGTGTGTGCACCTGTGCGTCTGTGTGCACCTGTGCGTCTGTGTGCACCTGTGCGTCTGTGTGCACCTGTGCGTCTGTGCGTGTCTGTGCATGTCTGTGTGTCTGTGTGTCTGCGTGTCTGTGCATGTCTGTGTGTGTCTGCGTGTCTGCGTGTCTGTGTGTCTGCGTGTCTGTGCATGTCTGTGTGTCTGTGCATGTCTGTGTGTTTCTGCGTGTCTATGTGTCTCTGCATGTCTGTGTGTGTCTCTGTGTCTGTGTCTGTTTGTGTCTGTGTGTACTGTGTCTCTGTGTGTTGTGTTGTGTGTGTTCATGTGTCTGTGTGTGTCCGTGTGTCTGTGTGTGTCCATGTATCTGTACGTCTGTGTGTATATTATGCCTCTGTGTGTTGTGTGTGTCTCTGTGTATCTGTCTGTGTACCGTGTGTTCTGTGTGTCCATGTGTCAGTGTGTCCATGTGTGTACTGTGTCTCTGTGTGTTGTGTGTGTGTGTTTGTGTGTCCTGTGTGTGGTGTGTCTCTGTGTTGTGTGTCTGTGTCTCTGTGTGTGTCTGTGTATCCTGTGTATGGTGTATCTCTGTGTTGTGTGTCTGTGTTTCTGTGTGTGTC